ACTATTTTTCTTTTCTGAGCTATGTTTTTGTTTCAAAGGGAAAACAATGCTCCTTTAAAAAAAAAAATGTTATCATGAAGCTTAGAGGCTTGCTTTTGACTTATTTGGTAAGTGTCTGCAAGGATCATCAATTGAGGAGACAGTTGGTCTAATTATGGGTAGGATATATAGGTCTTAAGCCGATGGCTTAGTATAATATTTTCCAAACAGAAATATCCAGATTCTATAAAACAGACGCAAATATATAAAGTTGATTTTAAGAAGGGCCATGTTTTATTTTTCACAGAATCAATGTATTGCATAATTTTATTATTCAGCAGATGATAGTGATAATCAACTATTTAAAACTTAAAAAGTGCTGGGTGGTGGTGGTGCACACCTTTAATCCCAGCACTCGGGAGGCAGAGGCAGACGGATCTCTGTGAGTTCGAGGCCAGCTTGGTCTACAAGAGCTAGTTCCAGGACAGGCACCAAAGCTACAGAAAAACCCTGTCTTAAAAAAGAAGAAACAAACAAACAAAAAAAAACTTTCAAAATATAGTGACTAAGTTTAGTACATCAAATACATTAAGGTTTAATAGTGAAAAAGAATCTTAAAAGGAGAATCTAGGTAGGACCAGATATGACTCAGAATGCGATGAAATTGTTTGCCAGGGCTGTAGGGCTTGAGCCAGTTAAAGATTTTGGCCATCCAGGTCTTTCCTACTCACTCATTCAGTGAATCACATCTGTGGTGGCTGGTGGCACTTAGGAGTCCTGACTTCTACTAGTGTTTTTCTGAGGCACATACTAAAGAATTGGCTGTTATTCTATATTTCTTTTTGTCTGGGGAAAGAGGTAAGATAAGTAGACCATGTGCGTCCTTGGTGAGATATCACCCTGCTGAGGTCCTAAAAGTGGCAGGAAGAGGAACTTTTGTGTTTGTTCAGTGGGATTTTCTTTTCCTTTAGTTCTTTAGTTTGTGATATGGTGATTGAGGGTGGGGTTGATCCAGTATGGGTTCAGTTGCCTGTTTAGTCTTGTTTGACAACTATCTTGTTAAGTAATATATTACAGTATCTTGGTACATAATGATTGGTGGGTGAGTCTAGATGAGTTGAAGATCTGAGTGGTAAGAAGGATAAACAAATAAAAAAAATTTAATAATAAAAGAAACATAAGCAAAAATTCAATTCTTGATAAAGAATTAAAAGTTGACCCAACCCTGGAACTCCTTCCTTCCTTCCTTCCTCTTTTTTTTTTTTTTTTTTTAGACCGGGTTTCTCTGTGTAGTTTTGGAGCCTGTCCTGGAACTAGCTCTTGTAGACCAGGCTGTCCTTCAGCTCACTGAGATTTGCCTGCCTCTGCTTCCCAAGTGCTGGGATTAAAGGCGTGTGCCACCACTGCCCAGCTTGACGCTGAAATTTCAATGACTGCTGTGTGTAAAGTTTCATTGATATAATGAAGATTGTAATTTTGGTTAATTTGTTTCTGGGATACACAAGCTGAAGAAAATAAGAATGTGATCCGAACAGAAACTCTTTGTGCATCTGGCAGTTGCTGTGGCCGAGCTACATGCTTTAGACTTGTTATTTCTCCCAAGATATGTAAGAGCTCTTAGCAGTGTTTTCTGTTTCTTTCATGAAGTAAAACATGCAAAGCAAACGGGTGGGAAAGGTTTCTTGTCTATAGTTCACCTGTCGGTGTCTAGGACTTCCATTGCTTACGTGCTTCTGTTGGCCGACTCCCCCACCTCCCAATACCTGTTTAAGGTGAATTCCTCTCTTTTTAATCCTCCCTGTTTGAACTGAAGAATTGTCTTCAGATCTCTCCTTTCCATTAGCTGTTTCTGGATAGTCAGTTTCTTTCCTTGCTTACACAAATCAAGTCAGCGTCTGGGATATGAAAGATGGTCTGTGGAAACTCCAGTTTGCTTACTTTTCTTTTGATGTGATAGATATTTGCTTCAGTGAGATCAAATGGGCAAGTGACCCTTTTGTTTGCCATCCCAGAGGATGAGCATTCCAGTGTCTGTTACTTGACTTTTCTGTAATATTTTGCATTGTTGCTTGTATCTCCTTGAACTTTCTGTTTTGGTTCAACTTGTGTGAACTTCTTTGACCAATCTTACTTCCTTTTCTTATGCTCATGTTCATCAAGATTCTGGCCTGGTTGTTGACTGCTCTTCTCACTAGATACCCCATGGGCTGTTCTCTGTGCTCATTTGATAGTCATATGTCTTTCTGATTTATTTCACCCACCTAGATATCCTTCCTCAGCACTATGAACAACTTCATTTGGGGTGATGTAGGCCTCAAACTTGGGATGAAGAGATGGCTCAGCAATTCCCAGCAACCACATGGTAGCTCACAACCATCTGTAATGAGATCTTGTACCCTCTTGAGGAAGAGACCTGGTCAGGCATCCTCATCAACGTAGACCATGAAACTCAGTATGGACAAGTTCAACAGAACCCCATGCATGCTTCAGTATTGCCAGGGCATAAATTTCATTTTCAAATTTCAGGCCTTAAACTCAGCTTGTTCAGAACTCTATGGTCCCTCATTTTGAGGTTTATTCCTGATCATTACCCAAGTCAGAAATAGAAAACCTTGATGATATTTCTGTTTTTTTCTTTAGCTCCACTGACCTCATAACAGCAGCTACTTATTTCTCTTCCGTACTCAGTCAGCAGCTGGTCTACAAAAAATGTCCTAGTTTGTGTGTGTGTGTTTTTATCCTATCTCATTCTTCTACTGTACATACCAAAAGCTTTCTTTTGATGTAAGTGAAGGAACAGACTAAAAGCCAACACGTTTCACAGTAGAGATGTCCAGAGGCACTGAAGAAGCAAAAATTTAGAGAGCTGAATCCTAACCACTACACTACCAGGGAAGAAGTAGAAATAAAGACCAAGGAAAAAGTTTGGCCTCTGATGGGAGAAGTTGGGTATTGTAGTGAAGGCAGTTCTGCACCTGTCCCACCCTGCATATTGCTTCTGGATGACATCCACAGTGTATTTCTCCAGCTGTGTTTGTTATCAGGTCCTCCCTCTACTACTTTTTGAGACAGGTCAGTCTCTGTATCCAGGCTGTCCTTGAACTCATACAGTAATCTTCTTGTCCCAGACTCCTAAGTGCTTGCATATTAGATGTGAGCCACTATGCCTGACTCCACTCACTTGTTTGCTGGTGTCACATGTATTATTTCTAATGTCTCTTCGACTCTTCATCCCAAACCGAATCTTAAGATATTTTATAAATCAATTTTTTGCTTGTTATTTACATGTAATTAGTCAGTAAGCTGTGACAGTTCTTCACAATCAAATTACAATCTATTTCTTTCTTGGTCTTTTATTATTTTTCTTAATTGGAACTATAGCAGGCAGTTTGTGATTCTCTCTGTGTGTATGCACACCTGCATGACGTGTGTGGGGATGTGCACACATCCTGACACCTGTGTGAAAGTCAGAGGACAGCTCTGTTTCTACAAACCTTTTCATGGGTTTTGGAGATCAAGCTCAGGTTGCCAGGCTTCCATGGCAAATGACTGCTAAACTGTCTCTCGGCCCCATTCGTAGTTGGTAGGTTTGCTTTGCCGTTCTCTACCTTTTATAATACTGGTAGATCATTTCCTTCATGAAATTCTTCATTTGGTTCTTTGAGCTCTGTGCTGTCGGCCACAGCTTTCTTTTTTTTTTTTTTTTTTGTTCATCTCCTTTGATGTCTTCCCAAGCCTAAATGTGTCTTTTGGGTTTTCACCTCTGGCTTAATGTCTTGTGACATTACTGGGCAACCTCAGTGGTATATGTGATTATAGTCACTCATCTGTTGACTTCTGCATCCCTGTCTTTATTGTAAACTCTGTACTGAGCCTAGAAGTGTATTTTCTCAGTTGTCTGCCCTCTTCTCCTCTTAGAGTCTCTACAGAGTGTCAGCCATAGTAGATTTCAAAGAGAGCTCATCACTCTTTCTCTTTTCGCGTTTTATCTTGATGTAGTCAAAAGCTACCATCAGAGAAGACATGGGTGAGATAGAGGTTTAATACCTAAATTGGACCACAAATTCTATTGATTCTGCCACATTTCTAAATCTCTTGCAGATTTGCTGTCTTGTGTGTCTTCACGGTGTTGCCTTAGACCTTTGTTGTTTCTTCCCTCATTTTGTTTCATAACTGCTTTGTCACTGTGCACCCTCCCCCTGCTCTAAATGAAATACTCATAGCCAAAGTTAGAGTGCTTATTTGTTTCACTTATATGTAAAATGTTTTGCACGCATTCTTTTCTAACAATCTAATAACAGGTCATTATATTTCCTTTTACTTTGGAATAGTTGTATCCAGCTTTTCTTCTCAGCACATGGTCCTAGCCAGTTCGCTTTAGAACCATTTCCTGGTTTCCTGTGCCATCTTAGGTTTGCTTTTAAAATCCTTCCTGAGCTAATCTTGTCTTTACTCATTCCTCTTGATCTGTCTTGCAGACTTGCTCTTTCAGGTCTATTGAATTTCTTGGTCTTTTTTGAAGGTGTCATACTTTTTTATCATTTTTTTTTGTGTGTTTAAACATGTTGCTGCCTCCACTTTGATCCCTGCCTCTGCCCCTTCAAGGCTTAAGTGACATCTCCAGAGATGTCATCACTGTCCATCAACTCTTTCACTATCTTGTGTTCTACTCCCATGACATGCTGTTTATACACTTGCTCTGTTAATAAAAAATATGTTTCTAAACCTAATTCTTGGGATAATTTTAGAATTATAGAAACAACAACAGAAGTAGCCTGAGTCCTTTCAAAGTCTACACTAGTTTCCTTGTCATTAGCATGCCAGGTCATGTCATAAGTGAGAAGTTAACTTTAGTACCTTGCTGTTGACTGAATTTCATGCATCAGGATATTTCTCTGGTTTTGTTTGTTTTTCTCTGGTCTTTTTGAGTCACGCTTAAGATTGCATATCCCTATTTATGATAGTTTGTCTTCAGAGCCAGGAACTCAGAACTGCTTGTGCTGATTTATTTCCTTGCATAGAGTATCGTATCAAAGAATGCTCTGCAGTATCGAGGAAATTCCCAGCATGATGCCCAGGAGTTTCTGCTATGGCTTTTGGATCGAGTTCATGAAGACCTTAATCATGCTGTAAAGCAGAGTGGCCAGCCTCCTCTGAAGGTCAGTGCATGTACACTCACTCCTTGTATAGTCTGGGAGTGGGGAAAAGGCTAAGGAGGGGAAAGTCTCGCAAATGTCTGTTAAGGGCTGTTGCATTAAGTAGAGTGACTGACTAGCTGTGGGTGAGTGTAAAACTAAGTGGGCATTTCATGGATATTCTACCTGCTTATTGTGCTGCCAGTGTAAAGTAAAAGACAACTGTACCTAAGGACTCCATAGTCTGATGAAGAGGACCAGATGCTTTCTATTCTAGTAAGACACATACTGTATAGATCAATAGAATAAGTACACAGTCAAAAAGGAAATGTATGAATACCTCTGCTGTTAGACTTGGATTTGAGCATAGGAACTGAGTCCGGAAGGGTTTTACTGAAAAACATAGCAGTTCACATATATAGCTTTTCCACGTGCAGCCTTAATATTATAGGTAAAGTGGTTCATAGAGTAGGAAGAGTACTTCTGTGGAGCTTTTGAAGTGTGTGACAAGTCTGTTCTGCATTTCAAAATTTCTGGTTTTAGAAAGTTAGTGGATTATTCTGACTTAAGGTCCTTTTGTTCCTGAACACTGTACTTTCATAACTGTGTCTACATGGTTGACTCTGTTACCATATTAAGACATCCTAAAGGCCGGACACTGTTTTACTTGCTCTAACATCCTGTATAATGTTCTCTAAATGTGGTAGCAGATGCTTCGTAGCTAGGGACATGAAAAGGTTAAATAAACCATGAAGCAGACTGTGATAAAGCATCAAGATGAAGATTGGAACTTTCTAGGGAGGAGAGCTGGCCAGTCTTCCAGCAGGCTAGAGAAGTGCAGTTGTCTGTGCGAGGGAATGAGTGCATGTGACCTGCAGGCTGTGATGTGTACAGAAGCATCTGGGGTCCGTGTACAGCTTATAAAGGAAGTTGAGTATTTGTGTTTTTTCTTTTCTATTTTTTTTAGCCACCATCAGAGACTGATATGATGCCTGAGGGACCATCTTTTCCTGTGTGTAGCACTTTTGTACAAGAACTTTTTCAAGCCCAGTACAGGTAGGAGCAAATATATGTTTGTTACCTCTTGTTTTGTCTGCTTGATGTAGTTCTGTGTGACCTTATGTGAATGCTTTACATTTTTGTTTTCAAAGATCTTCTTTGACGTGTCCTCATTGTCAGAAACAGAGCAACACTTTTGACCCTTTCCTGTGCATTTCTTTGCCAATTCCACTACCCCACACAAGGTAAGAATGTATGTATAAAATTAACAGTCTGCTGTGATGGGGCACTTCTCTGTAGCCTAATAATTTAAGTAATAGGCTTAATGGTAATGAACACAAGCCTTGTTACATTCTTGACACTAAGTGCCTGTCTGCGTGTACAGGCTGAGCAGGCACATGATACAGGAAAGCCCATTTTTTTCCCCCACTAGTCCTAGGTTCTCTGGAGACCCTTCTTGTACTTATTTCAGACTTTCAGAGTTTCCAGAAATTAGGCTGTTTTGAAGAAAAAGATAGAACCAATTATGAATATGTTTCTTGAAAAATATTTTTATGAAGATTGCTTTTTCAAAGATCTTTTGACTTGTTTGGTAGCTTCTAATTAGGTCTAATAAACTTTTCCCATTTGGCTTCTTAATAAAGGGGGCGTTAGCTCAGTTTCTTTTGATTTTAGATAGAGGCTCATGTATCACAGGCTGGCCTCAAACTTGTGTAGCTGAGAATGGCCTTAAACTCCCACTCTCTTGTCTTTAGGTTCTAAGTGCTGCAGTGGCAGGCATATGTCCCTATTTCTGGTGTACGTCATACTTGGGGAATGCAGGGCTGTGCATGCTAGGCACCTGAGCTGTCTCAGGCCTCATTTTAGTTTTCGTGTTGATTTCAGGTTAGGTTTCTTTCACTTTTTCCTGTATTTTAGCTAAAATAAGTGACTAATGAGAAGATCTGACTTTGATCTGCACAGGCCTCTCTATGTCACTGTAGTGTATCAAGGGAAATGTTCCCACTGCATGAGGATTGGTGTGGCTGTGCCTCTGTCTGGGACTGTTGCCAGACTTCGGGAAGCTGTGTCTATGGAGACAAAGATCCCCACTGATCAGGTAATAATCTGCTAAGACCAACTACACATGAGACACTATACTGTTGGTTTCTGCTTATCTGGATTTTTTTTCCATTTTCAATTTTCTGCCAAACATGTTAGAAATTTAATATTGTGGGGAGGATGGCTGGATGGGGGGAAATCCAGACTCAAAGAATACAGTGTATAGAAAACCTTCGCCTGCTTCAATTATTCGTAGATATGAAAGGAAAACTTTTGTGCAAGACCTTGTGGCTTTCTTTGTAAAGTGTAATTACTTAACCTTTCACACTACTGTGGGATTTGACAGAGAGGCTTCTCTGTCATGGTGGTGAGAATGGGCGTCCTGCTAGTATGATGTTCTGTATACAGTGTATGTTCATTGTGCTGCTTCCCAGCCCCTGTTGTGGCACTGGGGTTTGAACCCAGGGCCTTACTGCTGCTAGGAAGTGCTCTATATCTGAGTTGTACCTGTCACTCTTTTGTTTCCTTACAAAGTCTTTTGTTTAGATAGGGAAAAGTTGGGTTTCCCCTTTTGGGGGATGGGGAAGGGGAACACAACTTTGATAAGTAGTTACGTTTAAATTGAACAAGAAAATTATTTTGGCTTGTTGGGGACTTAACATATTTTACACACAGTTTATACTGAAAAAACATTATGGGGAAACATTCTTTAGGATTTATAAGGAAGGATGACTTACTGGTGAAACAGCTTTTCCCTGGATAGCTTTTGCAAGCTTCTATACAATCACTTGGATAATAATAAAGGTATTTTGTTCTTTGGCCTCATTTGGCCCCATTTGGGCAAACTCACTTAAAGCAATGTTGCCTTAGTGTAGCATTTCTCTTCTGTTGTCATAGGCTGAGCACTGGCACCATGATGAAGTGCTGGCATTTTCTTTACTTTAAATTGCTGCGTGATCCTTGTTCCTCTCAGGGAGGGGAAGGCAGACAGAAGAGAGGTCTTGGTGTCTAAGGCAAATGCGGCTGTGTCTGTAGAGCCTCAGTGCTGTTTCACTCTTCACATGTGGTATAAATTGGTGATATAATTACGAGTTTGCTTTAGCCCTCAGCTTTCTGGAGAGGTGGGTTATACTTCCATTCTCACCAAGAGAAAAGCGGCATAAACATAACATTCCTTAGAAGGAAATGTGCAAAGAGAATTTTTCTTTTTCTTTTTTTTTCTGGGTCATTTGTGAAACAGACCTCCAGCCTTTTCACCTCAGATCTGTTGAATGCCAGGACTCTTGAGGTGATGATGGGGAGGGGCACTGGCAGTTGGTGCCCAGTGGTGCCTCTTCATTCTGTTGAAGAAGGCCCTGTTCAGGAACACAGAGCTGGTTGATGGCAGACTAGACCTCGAACCTTCTCTTGCTCTGCGCAGTCTAGTACTTTTGCATTGGCCAGTACTGCTGAACATGCAGCATAAGCTTTAAATGTAGCGTTGTTTTCATCCATGTCTTTTGTTTTTCTATTTTTTTGTTAAAATATAACTTAGAAATTAAATGTATCTTAAGTGTCAGTGTTAAGAAGGTCACTATCTTTAGTGCTGTGTTATATACAACTTTTTAGATTTTTTTCTGGGATTCTATAATCTTTTCTAAAATAGAGTTATTAGACATCATTCTTAGCTGGTTTTTTTTTTTTTTTTGGCTTCATGATACAGATATATGCAGGTCATCTTTTCTAGTAGCTTTCTTAGTCAGCAGGGTTACATTTAACTAGTTGCTATCATTGGGCATTTGAGCTGATTTTATGTGTTCCAATATAGATAGCCATGATCGTTTGACTTTTTTTTTAAGTCTGAAAAGAGGAGAATTTAATGATATGAAAGAATGTCTTAGATTCAGATGTAGTCTGTCTTCTCCGTGAGACTGAAAACATGCAAAACCTTAGGCAGGTCTCTATTTCCTTTTTCCTCCTGTGAAACAGAGGAATGAGTGTAATCTGTCTCCAAACTTGGAGGAACTCTGGATTGATGCCACAGAGTTCTGGATTCAGAGTGTATTGCCACACAGTCATAGAGGCCATTATACTTCTGAGAGTCACCAGCAAATAATGTGGTCTTAGCCTTTCCGATGGTGACAACCTCCCTACGAGAACATGCCTCTCGCAGAGGATCTCCTTCATCCCTCTCCAGAGGAGGAAGAGAGGAAATACAAGAAAAAGCACCTGGTTCAGAGCCCCAATTCCTACTTTATGGATGTGAAGTGCCCAGGATGCTATAGAATCACCACGGTCTTTAGCCATGCACAGACAGTAGTCTTGTGTGTCGGCTGCTCCACTGTCCTCTGTCAGCCTACAGGCAGAAAAGCAAGACTGACAGAAGGATGCTCCTTCAGGAGGAAGCAGCACTGAAAAGCACCGGATTCGAGATGCGTGGGAACCACCCCAATAAACACATTTTGGATAAAAAAAAAATGTGGTCTTAGAAGACATCCAGTAACCCCCACTGAGCATTACCAACCTGATGGTCTTATGAAGGTCAGGGTAGGATTGGAAGATCATTTTGTATTGAATTTCTAGTTACCCAACTGTTCACATTTTCCCTCTCTTTTAGATTGTGCTCACCGAAATGTACTATGATGGGTTCCATCGTTCCTTCAGTGACACAGATGACCTGGAGACCGTTCATGAAAGTGATTGCATTTTTGCCTTTGAGACTCCAGAAATATTTAGACCTGAAGGAATTCTCAGTCAAAGAGGTAAATGATCGGGGCTGGAGAGGTGGCTCAGTGGTTAAGAGCATTGCCTGCTCTTCCAAAGGTCCTGAGTTCAATTCCCGGCAACCACATGGTGGCTCACAACCATCTGTAATGAGGTCTGGTGCCCTCTTCTGGCCTGCAGACATACACACAGACAGAATATTGTATACATAACAAATAAATAAATGTTTAAAAAAAAAAAAAAAAGAGGTAAATGATCATGTCTCTATAACACACTTGAGTTTGCAGATTTGACCACTGTGGACATTGAAGTACTGTATGATAGTATACAATTTTAAAAATTGTGACTAAGTGTACATACTGTTGTGTTTTTAGATTTTTATTCTCTTTTGTTTGTTTTTCTTGGTTTTAATAAAATCTCTATTTCTTTTATTACTAGTAGTGATCCTTTTGAACCCTACATGTGAATCTTGTGTATTGAACATCTGACCCTTCACGTGCCTATTATTTCTTACATGCTTTTACATTATCTGAAGGTCCACCTCACCAGCTCTTCTCCCTATTTTCTACAAATTTGCTTTAAGCTACTTGAGTTCTCTAGTTTTGTATGTGTGTGTTTAATCTCTGTCCTATTCCTTTTTCTTTACTCTTAAAAATTTTTAAGCACACTATAAAGACATCCTTCCCCAAGTTACTCAGAGCAAGGCTGATTTCTTTTTCTTTTTTTAAAATGTTAGCAACAACTTTTTATTTGGGTTCTTTTATTTCTAATGTGAATTTTCACTTTGATCCTTCAATGCCCTTCCTCCCATTCAATAAGGTGGATTTTTTTCTTTTTACACTGTTACCTCTAGTAAATCACTGTTCCCGTATTTTATTCCCCTTTTGTTATTTTTCTGTATCTATCTCATTGCAACAGTAATTTTTGTTTCTGTGCTCAATGATAAATAAAACTACAAATTTAAGACAAAGACAGTAGAAGAGAGAAATCTCAAAACTAATCCTTAAAAGAAAAAAAGGGTATAACTGAAAGAATAGTCCCTACTTCTTTTGTAACTAAATAAAAAATACATTTGTACAGAGTCAGATACCAACAAGATAGACAGATAAATAACTGAGTCCGAGTGTCCCCAGTGACTGCTTCCTCTAGTGAAGCCTTATTTCCTTGGGTTTGTACTGCTTCTTACAGCGTTTTTAGCTGGGAACCAAGACTTGAAGTAGATGGGCCTGCAAAGGACATGTTGGCTAACTCTGGATTACAGAGCTCCAGTTATTGCATCTGCTCATCTGGCATGAGTATATGGAAACGATCTGTTTCCTCTGTCTCTCACTATACTGGCATTCTTTGGAGTGCTGGCCATGTGATGGTTTATCTTTTTATACCTAGCAGTTTCTAATATGCAGCAAGAGTCCAGCTAGTGATTTTTAGCTGGAACATCCCTCAGTGAAGTCCCTGTTCCTTGATTGTTTTTGGTTTATCTTATCATATTGAGTTCCTGTACATTAATGAATCTCATACTCTGTCTAGAACATGCCTCTGTTGAAGGGTGCACCACTTTGAAGCATTTGTTAGACTATGATGTAAAGACATTATGAGTGCTCAGTAGCAACATGTGAGAATGTTCCTCACTCTGGGAATGACAGCTGTGAATTAGAGAGGTTAAATCACTGGCCCCAGGGCCCATCTGTTAGGAAACACAGGGCTGTGATTTGAAGAGCGGATCTGCAGCAGTTGAACAGCGTCCCTTTATCTCACTAGAAATCCTGGTCACTTCATACATTTACCTTTGCCTGGAATGAGGTAATTTGTTGTTTCAGATTTGGTTTCTGTTATCTTTATTTTTCCACATCACAGTTTAAAATGATTATAAAGTGATATCTACTCTTGTTTCTTTGGGATTTCTTTATGGTATTTATGCCTGACATGTGTTCTTTCTTTTAGTAGCTTGATTAAAGTTCAGGTTTTTAATTTCTAGTGATTTTTTACATATTTAATTATCTGGAGTTTATTTTGATATTACCTATGTACTTGTCATTCAAATTATTATAATGCTGCTGCATCTTAACAGCAGCTACTGGATTACTGGCTACTTAGCATACTGCCGGAACTGTGCTATGTTACTTTCTTCTTCTAGTGTTATTATTGTTGGTAGTGTTGGCAGAAAGGTCTGTTCCTCTTATGAACGTACATTTCACTAGGTGACATCCTTTTGAAAGAGTAAAGGGATTAACAGATATTGCCATTAATTAGCTACAGAGTCTTGTGATAGGTCTTGAATAGCTGGATGGATGGCCCTGAATAACAGGAAGCTCTGCTGTAGAACACTGAAGATTTGTGCTGTCTGTCAGGCATTTGTGTTCTTGCTAATATGGGTTGATCTGTTCTAGTTATGTTCTCAAAACAGTTCTGGATTAGTGAGTGCAGTTTTATCTCTTGTTGTGATAATCAGGGACAAGAAACTGCTAGTGAAACCTTGTAGATGATTCTAAATGTTGTCTACATTGCTTTTGGAATGCATTTGACTGGTTACTGGACCTAACTTCGAGTTGTATTTGTGGGTTATTCCAGTAAACTTGCACTTCAGAACTTTCTGACTTTGACTTGTGGAAAATTCCAATTTCCAGTCTTAAAGGTAGGGAAGCCTACTTTAAAGGAAACGATGAGTGCTGACATCTAGCCCGATGGCCTGATGAGTAATGTCATAGTAGAGTGTTTGTCCCTATTTTTGATTGTGGTTTAAATTATAAAATGACAATTTCTTATTATTTCTATTTCTATTTTTTCTTGTAATGAATAAATGAAAAGAATCTTGAAGAGATAAGTTGAACTGTTTTTATTCTGTTTCAGGCATTCACTTAAATAACAATTTAAACCACTTGAAATTTGGCTTGGATCATCACAGACTATCTTCCCCACCATCAACAGCAGCAAAACAAGGGAAAGTGGACTTGCCCACCAGAGTGGCAAACGACAAGATTGTTCTGCTTGTGTGTAACCGGGCCTGTACGGGGCAGCAAGGGAAAAGGTAAAAACCAGACTGTTTCCTAACAAATATTGACTTTTTTGAGGCTATATGCTTTAAAATCTTTTGAAAGGAGGGATGAAAAAAGAAATCTACTTTTAGTGGGAGTTTTGTTTTGGTTTTGTTTTGGACTCGTTGTGTATCCCCGGCTACCCGTGAACTCCTGATGCTCTAGCAGCTCCCAAGTGCCATTATGCCTAGCTGCAGTTAATTTTCTATTCTGTTATTCAGAAGGAATCTTTGTATAAGTTGGTTTAGTTTCTTGTATTAGGAAGGGAAAAGATATAAAATTAATGTGTTAGTATTTGAAAGGTGCTTATTTTAAAGCTTACTTAAGCTGGGCTGTGGTGGCCCAGCACTCGGGAGTCAGAGGCAGGCGGATCTCTGTGAATTTGAGGTCAGCCTGGTCTACAGAGCGAGCTCCAGTATAGCTAGGGCTACACAAAGAAACCCTATCTTGGAGAAAAAAAAGGAAGGAAGAAAGGAAGGAAGGAAGGAAGGAAGGAAGGAAGGAAGGAAGGAAGGAAGGAAGGGAAAAAAAGTTTGCTTAGATTTTGAGAGCTTATGTCCTGGGTGTATTAGGCTTTTCTTAGAATTCTGAACCTGTATCTTAAAACTTAAAAAAGTCTTAACGTATCTCTTTGGATGATACATGTTCCCTAGACTTATATCCCAAATTGAACTTATTATCTTTCTCTTCCAATATTTCCTGTTTTGGCAGATGGCACCATTATTCATTCAGCATTCTAAGTCAGAAATACGGGAGTCAAAAATCTCTCAAATTTCTCTGATGCCCTCTTTAAGAATTTATGGGAACCATAGAATATCTTCAAAGTAGCTTTATCACAGAAGTGTCTCCTGAATGGGAACAGCAGATGAATATGTTTCAGAAGGACTCAAAGGGTTTTTTGTTTTGTTTTGTCTGTTTTTACTAGTCAGGATAGCCATTATTTGAGCCTTTTAAAATTTCACTTTGAAATAAGTTCCTTGGGTGGTAACATAAACATAAAAATGTCACATATATTAATGATATTAACAAGAATGTTGATACTTACAGTGTTCAGGCATTGTTCTAAACCCTGGGAATATAGAGGTTCCCTTTTCTCATGAAGCTGACATCTGAGATAGGCCAACCAAAACCTAGTAAACACATTTAACCTCAGGTAGTTGTCTCCATGTTGAAGACACTGACACAGGCTAAAATGGTAGTGTGTGTGAAGGAGAGGCCCTGGGTCTACATTAGAACCAGAGCACAGGAAGGCGTCTCACTGGAAGGAATGTGTCCCAAAGAGAAGGAGTGAGCTGTGGGAACATCTGGGGAGAGGTCCCACGTAGAGGGGCCCCAATGCAGACTAGGGTTGTGACATGTTTAAGATAATAAATGGAAAGGAGCTTGTAGTATTTTTATGGAATTGAGACCTATAAAATTCCCTTTGTGGTACCAGGCGGTTAGAGTGGAATCATTGTCTTGTGATAGGAAGCTGTTTCATCCATGGAGACTTTCAGGCAAATAGCTTCAGTGTTACTGTTGTGAGAAGTCACTAGATGGCCTTTACGAATGATTTTCTTTTACCACTCGGCATCCACCCAAGTCTTCACAGAGTTCATCTTTTAGTTAGATTTGTCATTCATGCTGTGACTGATTCATCCAACAGCTTGTTTTATGTGCATTGGTTGTTTAGGCTGCTAAGGTAAGTACATTTCTCTCTAGCCATCAGTCTGTTAGTAAAGTGTCTAAATAGCGGTTTCTATTGCTGTGGTAAAACACCAGGACCATGAACAACTTGGTGAGGAAAGGGTCTCTTTTATCATACAGCTCCAAGGTTACACTTCATCTATGTAGGAAGTCAGGGCAAGAACCTGGAGACAGGATCTGGAACAGAAATTTTGAAGGAATGCTGCTTACTGACTTGTTCACCATAGTTTTCTGAGCCTGCTTTCTTATGGCATTTATCTAGGACCACCAGGTCAAGACCGCAGTGATCTGGGCCTTCCTACATCAGTCATTAATCAAGAAAATGCGTCACAGATCAATATGATGGGGCATTTTCTCAGTTAGCATTCCTTCTTCCAAAAAGAATCTAGCTTGTGTCAAGTTGATATAAACCTAGCCAGCACATGAGGATGGAAAGTCAGGCAGTGTTTATAACCCAGTGGCTAGTGCTGTGGTTTGTGGGGAATGAGGGTATCATACAGATGGGCAGCAGAGAACATAGGAGGGTGGAGAGGGTATTCTGTGCTGAGGGAGTGTGGTCTGCATCTGGGTGTATAGAGATGGAGACACTCAGGGATCAAAACATAGACTTGAACAACTAGGGCATGAGTTGAAGCTGAGGCCAGAACAATGGTCCTCAACTTTAACTGCGTATTGGAACTACTTGAGGTATATTCAGAAAAGCCTCAGTGCTGGATCACATTCCAGACCGACTTCATTAGAATCTCTGGAGCTGGCTTGAGCAACAGATTTTTGATGCTCCTTTGGTGAATTCAGATGTAGCTAAAACTGAGAACTATAGTATTGTCTCTTATTTTATGTGGTATAGGAACCTGGCAGAGCCCAGCTGACTTCTGCCCTAGTTAGGAAGTGACATCAGGTGTCGCTTGATAGTGCCTATCTTGTCAGTACCGGGATGTGGCTACCTGCTTCTTAGACCTTCTAGCCTTGCATGTTCCTGACACTTTTTTGATGCACATGGTTGGTCATGTTCACTGTCTCTGCCCCCTTACTGCTTAACTGTGCTTCACAAAGGCCATTTCTTCACCTGAGAGATCTAAGCAGTTCTTCTGACCTTGTCTTCTGTGAGAGTACCATTATTAGTTTTTGTTTTGTTTGAGAACTGTCCTACAACCAGTTAGACTGTGATCCAATTTAAAAAAACCAAGAATAAGGGATTGCTGTATTTTAAGGTGACCCTGTTGTTTGTGTGGTAGATTTGGACTGCCTTTTGTCCTGCACCTAGAGAAGACAGTAGCATGGGACCTTCTGCAGAAGGAGATCTTGGAGAAGATGAAGTATTTCTTGAGGCCTACTGTCAGCATCCAGGTTTGTAAGCATTTTGCTATTCCAGTAGAGCATGCTTTTTACTCAGAAGCAGCAGTCAGTACAGTGAAACTGGTTTTGTTGGGACTTACCGTCAGTTTCTGAAAGAAGTTGCTATTGCAGAAGGCCCCTTGAACTGCTGTGTGTATTATATCCTGTCATGGTGCCTGTCTAGTACAGCTGGCATATGGTCAGCACGAGATGGTATAGAACTTCTATCTGTAAACTTTAAAAATTACTGTGCTAAGGTATCCATAAAAGACCATTAAATTAGTGTTCAGTGAAAGCAATGGAATATTTAAATATTTGATAAATAAGTTGCATTTGAGTGCCTTGTACTTAAAGTAGAGGAGTATTTTGTAAGGTGAGCTGTTTGCTGTATCTGATGTATTTTGGAAATGCCACTGTGAAGCATGCTCTTGCCTAAGTCCAGCCTAATTCTCATTTGTCATTTGATATAGGTGTGTCCATTCAGTTTGCGTGTGGTCAGTGTTGTGGGAATAACTTACTTGCTGCCTCAGGAAGAACAGCCCTTGTGCCACCCGACAGTAGAAAGGTAAAAGACAAACACAAAACCATTTTCAAGAATCTCACATGTGCTCATGTAACATTTGATGTAATGTCTGATGTCTGGTATAATTTCCATGTAAGTGTCTTAAGTTCTTTAAGGCCATTTAGAAGTGAAGTACTTGGCAACTTGATTTGCTGTGCGTTGCTGATACCCATGGGGGCCTGCCCCTTTCTGAACAGAAACAGAGGAGGGGTGGATAAGGGGGCAAGAGGGAACGATTAGGAGGAGATGAGGAGGGACTGTGTGGTCAGGATGTAAAACAAACAAACAAATAATTAAAAACTAACAAGTAAACATAAAAAAAAAAAAGAAATTAAGTTCTTGTTTTACTTTTGGCTCATACTAGGTACAGTGTTGTCCTAGTCAGGGTTACTTTCCCTGTGATGAAACACCATGACCAAAAGCAAGTCTGGCGAAGCTTACATTTCCACATTACTGTTTAGTATTGGTGAAAGTCAGGGCAGGAAGCTGGAGGCAGGAGCTGATGCAGAGGCCATGGAGGAGTGCTGCTTACTTGTTTGCTCTTCATAGCTTACTCAGCCTACTTTCTTAAAGAAGCCAGGACCACCTACCCAGGGTGGCCCTACCCACATTGGACTGGGTCCTCTCACATCAATCACTAGTTTAAGAAAATACCCTACAGGCTTGCCCACAACCCAGTCTTATAGAAGCATTTTCTCGGATGAGGCTCCCTTTTATCTAATGACTCTAACTTGTGTCAAGTTGTCTATGCACTTTCTTCAAATTAAAGTAACTCATGTTAGGAAGATTAAAAAAAAAAACACATGCATGCACACATGCTCACAAACATGTGTATGCATGCATGCATGGATGAATAAATAAGTAAATGATAAACAAATTACACTCTCATTCACAAAGATTGAAGTGTTCCAGGCTAATGGTCTGGTCGTCCCTGGTCATTGCCCTTACTGGTAACTTGTGATCTAGAAGGTAAAGCCTGTATCCCGTAGTTTGAACTCTCTACTTCTCTTTGGTCAGGTCTTTTTGCTATCCCTCTCCCAGCTACCCCAAACCTGCCTTTGTCTTCATTGTACTGATGATTATTTGAACATATGACACTGTCCATAATTCCTTTACTGTGAAAACATTTATTGTTCCTCCTCCTCTGATGGGATTAGTTGTTCTACTTTTCTACTCCTGTGATTTAATACATGATGTTCTATTATCTGCTGTACTAGGAGGTATATGTGTATGGACTGTCTACATGTGGCTACATAAATATGAAAAGTTGCATTATTTTTATTGTAATGATTTTTTTCAACACATACTTTTTAAAAAAACACAAGCTAGTCATGGTAGTGCATACCTATAATTCCAGTACAGGAAGATCAGGATTTGAAGGCTGTCCTTGGCTATATGGTAAAGTTGAGACATGGGGTGTATGAGACAATGTCTCACTTCCCCCACCACCATTTTTTAAACAACATTGTCTTGTTTGAAATGTCACTATTTGATTGACATGAAAGTAACTAAATAATCTAAAAATATTGCACAGCATATAAAAGATAAAAGTTTAGTAATATTAGCCATTAGTGATGAGTGTCTCAAAAAATGGTGATGACCAGTGAATTGGCTGGTTTGTATTTATGGAGGAGGAAGGTACAGGGGAGTTGACATGGACATAAGGTAGGCATAGTGGGGTGGATTTGGGCAAGTGTGAGAGCAGACTATTCCCAGGAAACTGAGTCTAGTCTCTGTGTGGGTGAGACAATGGGCAAAAGTTGGAAAGATAATAAATAATATCTAAGAGTGTGCAAGCAAATTTATGGGATGATGCTAAATTTCTTCCACTCTTATTTCTATATTGAATGTTTTAATTTAAGGATTTTCCATTCTGCTTGTAAACTAGGTACAAAATCAGGGGCTACATTGGTCTCATTTTCTGATGAAGACCTATTAAGATTTTCTATAATGACTATATTCTAGATAGAATATAATGACATTTAAGTGAAATCTTTCTTTTAGAAAATATGTTGCTCTGCTCTGATTCTTTAGGGCATTAAAATCCTGTGGACCAGGTGGCACCGCTCATGTGAAACTGGTAGTAGAATGGGACAAGGAGACAAAAGATTTGTGAGTCTTTTTTTTTTTAAATTACCATTTTGGCAGCACACAGATCTTTCAGTTTGCTGTAACATGCAAGTCTTAGCATTAAATGAGTATTTTATGTGTGTTTTAACCCTTTATTTAAGCACTTTTTTTCTTTTCCTGACTTCTTTCCAAGGCTCAAAATTGTAAAAAATTTACTTGCTGCTGAGGGAAAAGCCATATGTTCATTAATTGCTGTGTGTGTTGATTTACTAGGATTTTGTTGTTGTTGTTGTTGTTGTTACAGGATCATTAGCTCTTGTAGGCTTATAGCAGACAGGATCAGATGTGTTTAGGATTGTACAGCTGTAGACTAGTAAGCTTGTGTCAAATGCATGTCCTTAGATACCTTAGATAAGAATGAATGATTTAAGCAGCATGGACAGAGAGAACGAGCAAGCTCTGGTTAAGAGCACATACTGCTTACAATTCTTACACCTGTGTCAGGAGGCTAACAATAGCCTGTAGTTCTAACTTAAGGAGAACTGACACCTCTGGCCCCCCGTGGACCCATACACTCACGTGTGCATACCCACATAGATACACATACATACACATAATTAAGAACAAAATATGCACAATCATGGACAGTTTGAGAAAAGCTAACTCCAAGTTAACTCTTGAAATAACTTTGCAGATGGAGTAATTTCCGAAAATATTTTGGAATGTAGGAGAGTTGAATTGCTGTATTCTTATGCATTGATCTTATGGGTTATGAGTTCATAGCTGCTTTTGAAAAGCTCTTGTGTCTGTTTTATAAGACTGCCTATCCCCTGAATTGCAGCTTGTTTATAAACACTGAAGATGAATATATCCCTGATGCAGAGAGTGTCCGTCTGCAGAAGGAGCATCATCATCAGCCACAAACCTGCACTTTATCCCAGTGTTTTCAACTCTACACCAAAGAAGAACGGGTAAGATGCAGGTCTTCAAGATGACAGTGAGATTAGTCCTGCCCAGGAAAACATATCCCATGCCCCAGGAGTTTGCATTCCCATAGGCTCTACACATTAAGTGGGCATACATATTTAGTGTTAGTCATTTTAGGGCTTTAATATGGAGTGACTTAAATTTTTGAGTATTTGGAGTGCTGTAGAAATGAGCCTTTGTAATTGTTTTATTTTTAATGATCAATATATATTTTTTGTTCATTTCAGTTTGGAAGTCTTAAGTTATTTTCCTTAGTAATGAACACTTTTCTCAAATTTTTTTGTTTTATTTTTGTTTTGTTTGATGTTTTGTTTTTGGTACAAGGTTTCATAATGTAGTCCTAGATGGTCTAAAAATGGTCTGTGTAGAGCAGGATGGTTTCAAAGGCAGGCTTCTACCTCTCCCTCTTGAGTGCTGAGGTTACAACTGTGACCACCAACACAACCCGACTTTTCTCAGTTTAGTGCACATGTCCTCTAAACAATAGGTGTCAGGACCTTTTCAAGTCTAAATCAAATAAAATCAGATAAAATGAAAAATTAGGTTCCTTATTTGTGTAAATTCCATCTCAAGTACTCAGTAACACTGGCTCCAGTACAGAGCAGTGCACGTATCATGTTATGTTGGATCATAGTGTGCTGGACCACTTAGCACAGTGGTTTATATATAGTGGGGATTCAGTAAATATTTAATTGTTGAATGGACAGATAGATGGATGGATAAGTTTCCTTGTTGCCCAGGCCTATGGGAAATCTTGACCAGAGTGTGTAGAATTCATCTAATCTTGCTTTTCATGATCTGTATTAGTCTAACTTTGTGTGGCTGTGACAGAACACCTGATATACTCAAGATAATCAGCACGAGAGGGGAAGATCTGCTTTAGCTCATGGTTTCAGGCCATGGTCCTTTGCTTCGTTTATTTCTGGTCTGTTAGGAGACAGAATATCCTGGAGATGGGAGTGTGTGGAGGAGAAGGCTGCTAGACTCATGGTTGGCAGGGAACAAGGAAAGAGACGGAAGGGCCCAGGGGAAAGGTACCCCAGAGATCTACTTTGGGTTACCTTCCTCCTCCAGCCAGATCCTTCCCAAGGTTCCAGTATCTACAAAAATAGTTTAATCAGGCAATGACCAAACATTCAGTACATGTACCTTCGGGGAGTACCTTTATTAAACCATAATAGGATAATTTTGGTCATTAGTTTACCTTTTGCTCCTGGATATATGGAATTAGGTACCTCAGGACCAGAAGGGACTTTAAATAAAACTCCTTTAATCTATTTTACCTCATTTAAAGTGAATGAGTGCTTTCTGTTATGAGGAGTTTGCTACTTAAGACCTGGTGCCCAGTACCTTTCTTGATAGGTCTAATAGGGACTGAAATTAGCCTGAAATAGGCCCCTTGGACATACTGTAACAAATAGAAATTTTCTTCAAATAGTTCAAAATAATTTTCAGAATCTCATTGAGTTCTCTCCTTCAACCTGTCTGTAGCAAGTTCCTTCAAAAATAGTTTATCAAAGGACAAGTGCTTATCAATTTTTAGCTTAATTACAAAATAACCAGTTGGCTTTGAAGCTGGTTGATTGAAGATTCTTGATTCACTGTCTTCTTTGCTGGGTGTTGTTAAAAGTTGACTTGATGTTTTTTTAAAAACAGGACAAAGCTTAAGGGTTAGCAGTTGAACTGATGGTTGCATTTGATCTACAAAACAGCTCACTGTTTTGGATTGGGGAGTTTGTGCAGGCAAGGCATGTTGCTCTAGAGTCTAGAGTCTAGAGGCTCATTCATTTACAGGTTTATCAAGAACCTGTAGTTTATTGGGTCCTAAACAAAACACTTGGTTACTCAGTGACCAAGGCAATGGTTCTGCCTTCATTTTGTTCATACCCTAGAGCAGGAAAACAACCATATAAAGGAAGTAAAGGTCTTAGGGTAGAAAGGAGCTTAACATAGTTGAAAACAGAAATGTAGTCAGTGTGGCAGGAGCTCAAGAACTAAGGGAGAACCGGAGAGTGGTGGCGCATACCTTTAATCCCAGCACTTGGGAGGCAGAGACAGGCTGATCTCTGTGAGTTTGAGGCCAGCCTGGTCTACAGAGTAAGTTCCAAGACAGGCTCCAAATCTATAGAGAAACTGTCTTGAATCCCGCCCCCCCCCCCAAAAAAAAAGAACTAAGAGAGAGAGTTAGGGTAGTGTGAGCTCTAGTGAGAGCCTTAGTCTCTTACTAAATATCTTTGCATCTAAGAGAGGTGCTTGACACATAAGAAGTGCTTGGTAAGTATGTATTGGAATATGAACGTGGTGGGAAGTTTAATATGGGGTTAAAAATAACAGTATAGATATAGAGGAAGACTTTAGCAATCAGTTGTGTGACAATAGTTTGGGGTCCAGCCATCTTCAGGCTCAGTACTGATGATCAGTACTATGTGGATGTGGGCTGTTGTGCTGTACACGGAGGCTTTAAAAACAGTGCCCAAAACTGTGGTGATGCTGGCGCTGCTCTTCTCATCTCTTCAAATGTGTACTGCTAATGAGGATGGCACACTGGGACAAAGGTGGAAGAGAGGGTGGGGATGATACATCTGGAGTCATGATATAGCGAAGAAAAGTTTGATGTAGGGGGGATCTGATAGTTATTTGGGGGCACTTGGACTGTCCTGTGAATGAGGTATTGGGCTTAATTTTATGTAAAGAACAAAATCTAAAGGTTGGGAATGCTGAAGAGAGTGATCTTGTCCTGCCACGAGGAAGTCTGTATGTCTGCAGAGCGAACTCCTTCATTGCCAGGAAGACTTGGTAGGCTAGGAATACTCAAGAGTGCAATTGTCTGACCTGGGAGCTTTCCAGCAGTTCATAGTCAGTACAGAAACCAGAGAAATGTTTTAGAAACTATCAGAGTGATTAGATGCTATGACATAAATACTATATTTCATTAAAGTATCTGTTTATAATATGTTGGGATTTAGACAGAAACTTAACTTTTGACAAAAGTGTGAGGACTACACAGCCAATAAGGGGAGTATTAATATGCCGCTTGAGATCTGGGCTTACTAGATGATAGTCTGGACCCCTTTCATCTGGCTTTCTGATCATTCCTATTTACCCAGACTTCTGTCCTCCTGTCTGCCATTTTTTTCTGTGAATGTAATCGAATTGCATCATCATGAAAACTGAGCTTTTCAGTTTTGCTTCCCTTTTAAGTTACTAGACTGGTTTCTCCTCTATTCTACCCAGATTTTCTGTTGGTAGCCTTCTTGTCCTCTCAAAGCCTCTTCCTGTTTATCTGATTTGAATTAGGAATACTGGTCTCTGAGGTTCTCAGTGGCCTCTGCTCAGGCGTCATTTGATCACCTCATGGTACGTGGCACTAATGACCAGATGTTTTCACCACTCTTTCTTGCCTTACCTAAAGGGAATGCGTCTGGGCTCCATATTTTGTTGTTATTGTTTGGGGGGTGCGCTACATCCTGGTGGCTTCTGAGGTTGGTTATTTCTCTTAAAATATTTCCCCAATTTTATAACTTTGGCTCTTTCTCTTACATTATGGTGGGGATTATCTTCTGTTCCCAGAGCTTTCCTTATCTCATTCCATGTGTGGACCTAGGTTGGATGTTGCCTCTCTAGCTAGATTTTTCATGCATTTGATACTTCTAATTTACATGTCCCCACTCGCCCATTTAGAGATGCTGTTTTTGGATATAGAGTATTGGACTGATGTTTGGAAAAGCTCATTGAGAGTATATGGGGAGGATTGTTTAGAACAGTTCGGTGCTGCTGGAGGAGAGAATGGTTAGGATACATGAGGTGTTGGTAAGAGTGAGTAAGAACTTGCAATGGTGTGTTCATGTAAGTTAGTGTAGAGAAGAGTCAGGCTCAGAAATGGAGGGACACCCAGTGGGGTAAAAGGAAGAAGAAAATGGGAAGTGCTCGGGGCTTGGGATAGCCCGCTATGTTCCACCTTGGTTGGCAGTAGTAGAATATGCTCAGGTATGATGTTCTAGACATCCAAGAAAGTCCGTATTGGTCTAAAGGTGATAAGTTGCATTTGAGGGCACACTGGACTTGCAGTGCTTCTGTAACAAGAGCATTTAGCCATTCTTTGAGGGAGGGAGGTTTAGCACTCATCTGGATTTGTCCACACTGGCCAGGTGCTACTTGTGATTGTGTTATCCCATTGGCTGTCCTGTGCAGCTTCCAGAGAGATGCAGAGTGATACCAGACCCTGGGCAAGAAAGTAGTTCAGCTGTCTGCCATGACAAAGACTTTGATTATGTGGTGCCTAATGGAAGTCCGCTCCTTGTTTCCAGCTTGCTCCAGATGATGCATGGCGATGCCCACACTGCAAGCAGCTGCAACAGGGGAGCATCACATTAAGCCTGTGGACTCTGCCTGATGTGCTTATTATACACCTCAAGAGATTCCGCCAGGTGAGAAAATCCTGTCACTGGGGAAAGCTAGCATGACCTTGTTTCTCTTGACTCCTGTTGGTGGTTTGTGTGGGTTCTTTGGTGACCCTGTTAGATTCCCCCACTGATGCTGTCTGAATGTCTCCACATGTTTGACTGACCCATCTATAGTCATATTTTCTAAAGCAAAATTTGGCTATCCTGTGATCCTTTAATCCTGAATATTTTGTTCACGTAGTTTATGTACGTGTTTTACTTTATTCTTGAGGGTTAGCTTTAGACTTGTAAATGTTTTTCTTAAATTTTAGTGTGTTTACTTTATGATTGAGAAGAGATCCTTTGTGAGAGAGGTAGAATTCCTATTTCTACCTAAAGTAATAAACTGTATTGCCCTGCTTCATGGAGCTGTTATATAGTTGGGGGGCAGTGAGTAATAGATACAAATATCTGCTTTTTGTTGTACTACTTTGTGAGTCACTTTCCCCAAAAAGTCTGTCTACCTTTTGAGGTGAAGAATGTCCTAGACGACCCCATTGTAAGAGAATTTGATGAGATGTGAACTGTAGTGAGCCTTTGTGGCCTGAATTCAAGAGAGTTTGTGCCTGAAAAGTGAGCAACTGTTTGCTAGATGAGAAGGAGAAACAGGACTGCACCTTCATGCGACAGAATGAGCAGTTTATGCTGAGCCTAGGGCCTGACGAGGCTGAAGACAAGGCAGTGGGGTGACACACTCCAGAAGATGGATGACGGGAGCTAAGATGGAAGAGAAAGGCAGATAGAGAGCAGTTGTTCAAGCATATCCTTGTAGGCAGTCAGATTTTAGTGAAGAGCTTTGAACAGAAGCAGCAAATGCCAAATGTGTGTTTTGAAGTGATCCTTTCACTTCTGGGTGGGTAGCAGATGAAAAGTTGCAAGTATTGCGGGCATCATGAAGGCTGCTGCCGACTTAGGATAGAGTTTTGCAATAGGGATGAAGAAGTGTGCAGACTTAAGATGGAGCAAGGCTGACACACCTAGTTCCCAGGCCTGGGTGTTTCTAAGCACCAAGGTGGAACTTAGGGGACTACTCCAGATTCCCAAAACTTTCTAAATTTCAGAGCTGGGCTTCTGTGATAATGAAGCATGGCACTTGCCTTGGGCATCCCGCTTGGGCTCTGTAGATGGGAAATTGATTGAAACTTCTAGTCCAGCCTTCTCTGTCTTCTTCCCCTAATGCTAAGGGATTTCCTTCACTTTTCCTTCCAGAATCCCAGACTCAGAATGGCAGTGTCTTTGACGTTCCTTCTTATCATCTAATCTAGGTAGCCACTTGTGGAGACTGACTTGGCTTTTCCATGGATTCCTTGTGTATCTACTTGTGTTTGCTGTCACCCTCCCACTAAATGACTTTCTGTTATTGCTCAGGAGGTTGCGGTTGCAGTTGCAGTCTTTTAATTGATTTCTTAACCTCAATAACCGCCCTTCCTAACATGTTGTACACACTGCTCACAGTTCTTCACTCTCAGTTCTGGTGACATCACTTCCTTCTGGCAAGCCTCAGTGCTGCCCTGGTCACTACAGTAAGGCCCTGTGCTTCATCCTGGCCCCCATTCAGGAGCTTTTCTCCTATGAGTGTATATTTTCCTTTAATAGAGCCATCATAAATCCTTGAAATGTTCACATCCATGTCTGATTAGTTTGTTAAATGTTCTCTTGGACATAGAAAACATGCAATAATACTCATTCAACAGATTTTTAGGTTTCAAGGATATTCCAAAGGGCTTAATGGAAAATACAGATTCTTCAAGATTGTTGGTTAAATAGCTAAGTTCAGCCAAGTAAATGTGCTTGTTGGAGAAGTAGTGAGGAACAGGCCTTATTGAACACCTCTTCTCTGCTAGGTGTTGGGTTTGCCCTTTACGTAGTTATACTCTATTTATCTTCTGGCATCTGACAGAAGTGTCAGGGTGAATCACCTGAAATTGTCACTTGTCTCCTAAGCTTGCCTCTCCCCCACTCCCAAAAGCTTTGACAGATAAAGCAATGAAAATCCAGAGGTTCGTTTTCCCCAACATGCTGATCCTCATTGGTTCTACTTTAAGTGTTACTAAAGCTTGTTCCCGTACACAGTTAACACTGGCAGTCTATTTCCCTATTATGTGTCTTGGGGAAATCAGATAGGTGATTCAAAGAGATTTAACTGACAGGGCCCATATTTCATGCTAAACTGAGCTTCCATCTGCTTGCATTAAAATGTCATCAGAACTTGTTTTTCTTCTTGCAACAGGAAGGAGACAGGCGCATGAAACTTCAGAACATGGTCAAGTTCCCCTTGACTGGCCTGGACATGACACCCCATGTGGTTAAGAGAAGTCAGAGCAGCTGGAGCTTGCCATCTCATTGGTCCCCATGGAGACGGCCCTATGGACTCGGGAGGGACCCTGAGGACTACATCTATGACCTGTATGCTGTGTGCAATCATCATGGCACCATGCAAGGGGGGCACTACACAGGTCTGCAGTGCGAGAGGCTGCGTGTCTGTGCTGACGCTTCCTTCAGGCTGTTTGCTTGTAGCTTTGAACCTCCCTTTCTCTTTCAGTGTGCCTTTTGCCAGCTCTGAGCAGACCTGATGGGAAAATGTTTGCACGAGACAGCTGAGGAGCCACTCTTGTTTACCCAGCGTGCCTCCCTATTATAGCTATGTGATGCTTTTGAGGCTCTAGCATCTCCCTAACTTAGAATGGTCATGAGCCACTTTCATGATGTCTTTATTCTTTTAAGGGTAAATTTACTTTTGCATTATAAAAGCAACTCTTTTCAGCATAAGAAGTCTAGAGAGAGGTGGAAAGAATGCTATTGTGAAATGGGCTTGTCAGGCATAGTGAGATAAAAGGCTATTAACCTTTGAAAAATCATGGTTAAAATATACATAATTAAACTTAGCATTTTAGTCATTGTTAAGTGTCCAGTTTGGTGGCATTGAAAACACATTGTTGTATAGCCACATCACTATCCATTTCCAGAACTTTTTCATCTTCTCAAACAGAAACTCATTAAACAGTAATTTCCATGCTCTCCCTCCTCCAGCCTCTGACAGCCCCATACTCTGACTTGATGAACTTATTCTTTAGGTGCCTCTTGTACATAAGACCACACAGTATTATTAGTTCTTTGTAACTGCTTTATTTTATTGAGCATAATGTCTTTAAGGTTCATCAATAGTAATTCTTCGATACATTTACTATTTTATACTGATGTGACTATATATTGGTCTGTTTCACTCATAAATATTAAACACTTTGTAATTAGCTTGTAATAGACTCTTATCACATCACAGGTGACTAAATCCCACTGTGTATCTTTTAGGAGTAGAAACAAGTAGGCAAAAATGCAGATAAAAATCAAATTTAAGGATACTGCTATGTGTGTAATAAGTGGTAGTGGAGGTAAACCCAGGAGAGGGGAGGAGAAGCTGTCTGAGACTGGTAGCCTGTTTGTGCAGCACTACTGTATGGGCCCAGGATGAGAGCCACGTCTTTACAGTGGTCCTGTAAAGATGATATTGTTTAATGATGTGGTAACATCTTAGCTTTTGTAGTTGTATTAGTGTCTGATGACAGTTGTCTAACATTGAGCTTCTCAGAATGTAGTTCTAGTAAGTGACTTGACTAGCAACCATTTCCATTACTAAACATGTATTAATTTTCTTTTTAAATTGTTTAATGTTGATGACTCTCCTTGTAGATTCTTCTCATAGCAGTTAGCCACCAGTTGTTGTTTAGCCTTCCTAACTTTGCATGCTCTCTTTCAGTTCAGGATGATAGGAGGATGACTAGCTATAATCGCTCATTCTTGAAACCCTTTTAGTTTAACTCTGCCAACAGCAGCTGTTTTTGAGAGGAACGACCCAGCCTCTGGGTGTGTTCACAAGAACAATTTGGCTTCTGCTCGTCTGGGAAGTATTGGCAAGGAGAAAAAGGGCTCCCAAGGTGCTCTCACTTCACAGAAGGCATTAGTAGCTTAAATGTGTTTTACCTTGCACTTTTTAAAAACTATTTAGATGGCAATGCAGTGTTTGTTGTTCTGTGTATTTTTATAGCGGCCACTGTGTGATGATTGCATTTCTAGTTGGATATTTGCTTTTCTGACATTACTAGTAATGTCTGTGTTCTTGGATGCTGAGTCATGAGATTAAATATTCTTTACTCTTAGAGTGGAAAGGGTCATAGAAGTAATTGAAATCTACTAACCACTCACTATATTAACCTCTTTGCCCACATTTCTGATTAATATTTACACTTTGGTAGGAAGTCATTTTGCAAAATATATACTATCTAGGTAAGGAATTGTTAGAGAAAATAGGACAGTGCTAGATTTCAGAATATCATGTTGTTCTTTATTTAGGACAGACTTTGAAAACTACTTGAAAATCCTTAGAAGCAGTGTGACTTAGTAAAAGGAGCTTGGATGAGATCGTTGACCCATCTTAGAACTTGACCAGATCTCTTTATCTGGGCCCATGAAGCACAGCGATGAGCAGAAGTGGGTTTGTCTGCTCATTGCCCCTTACCTAGGAGGTGCTCACATACTTTATAATCAGTGCTTCTCAACCTTCAGGATGTTGCAACCCTTTAACGCAGTTCCTCATTATTTTTGTTGCTACTTCATAACTGTAATTTTGCTACTGTTGCGAATTGTAATGTAAATATCTGTGCTTTCTGATGGTCTTAGGTGACCCCTGTGAAAGTCATTTGACATGCAGAGGGATTCTGACCCACAGGTTGAGAGCCACTGTATTATTTCCTCTTTTCTGTTCTATGTGTGTATTTGGGTTTGTGTTTGACGGCCAGAGGGCAGCCTTGGGTATTGTTCATCAGTGTTTGTCTATCTTGTTTTGAGACAGTCCCTTACTGACCTGGGCTGTCCATTGATCCCCAAGTATCTGCCTGACTCTGCCTTCCTAGCAATAGGGTTCCCACCATGTGCCATGAGAAGTCATCTATCTCTCTTCCTTTCCTGTTCTTAAGGCAAACCATTGCTTATCTCTAAATGTTGACAGTTACAGTTTAGAGAAACAACCCTCGGCTTTACGTATTTTTTTTTAAATTACATTTATTTGCTTATTTGTGTTGGGCTATGGTAGGTAGTGCAGCAGATGTCAGAGGATACATGTGTGAGTGAGTTGGTTCTATCTTTCCATCATATGGGCCTAGCAGATTTTTTTTTAGCCGGTGATATTCTAAGTTTTCACTAGAATGTCTTTGACGATTCTTGCTGTAATTGCATGTTGTGTATATAGCTAACTTGTACAACAATTCTAGAACAGAGCCTCTCAAACTATCTGTGATAAAGGCCTTGATATTTTCTATTTTAGCATTTCCAACCCTTTATAAGTCTGTTTTGTAAAAATGCAAATGTTAACAGCAGTATCATATTGCTAGATGTTTTTGAATGCTTATCTTTGTTTTGGTGCCTCCTTTTGTGGACAGATGCCATGCCGTGCCACAGCTTGAGTAGCACTTTGGAAGGCAGTGCTAGGGAGAAAAGCAAATAGATTTATAAATAAATACTTTGCTTCTTAGTAAGTTACGATATGGCCTTTCCATGCCACAGCCGAAAACAAACCATCCTGAGAGCAAACAGACTGCACTAGAGCAAGGTTATTCTTTCTGTTGGTGGGTGTGGCCCCTGTGCAGTTCAGCTCCCACTCGCCTCTCCAGAATAGCAGCCTCCTCTCCAGATGGGCCATGTGTGCCTTAGTCTGGCCTGACACCATTGGCCCAGCCAGTGCTGTTGCTATGACTCCATTTGTTTTGAGTGTCTCTATTTCACTCTCTGGTTTGGAACTGATCTCCCTCCCACACTTTGAGGCTTTGTTTCTCTTTTAGGACCTGTCTCGTTAGGAACAATTCCTCACCTGGGTCCCTTTCATCTCTATGGTTCCATACTTGCAAAACTGAACTGGCCTAATCACTTGTGGTGCCTAGCAGGATTGTATATGCCCTGACCTTGAAGGCCATCCTAAGTAGGTGTCAGCATTTACTGAATATTCTAGCATTCATCCGTGTTTAGTATTTTGAGAAATGTGATAATAATTTGCTTTTTTGGACCAAGCTTTATAAGATCCCTTGATTCAGCCTAATAGTATGACTTTGACTTCATGACCTCAAGGTTTTGGCATAGGTTTGGTGCTTGTGATTGAACCCAGGTTCTTGGGTACACTAAGCACATATTCTAATACTGAACTACACTCCCAGTCCCAGACTCTTACGTTTTAATTGGCTCTTGCTGGTTCCTTTTTTTTTTTTTTTCCTTGATGGTACTTAAATGTTCTTTATTTCTATCTCAGGCTTAGAGTTGAAACTGGGGGGAAGGCTCCATGTATGTATTCTTGAGTTCTGTGTTCTCAGGTTTGCCAAGGAATATCTATAGACCATTTAGGCTTCCCCTGAAGGAAAAGGGTAGGGTACAGTAGGACTTTAAGCACAAGCCGAAGGATTATTTAAACCCAAATGCCATATGTTCTCCCTCTACCAACTGCACAACTATGTGGTAGGCGGTCTTTGTGTGTAGGATAATATGATTGTATTTGTGGAGTGTGTGTGGAGGCCAGGGGTACCAGTAGTTGCACCTACTTTGTATTTGTTTGTTTGTTTTTTGTTGCTGTTTTCTGTTTGTTTGGCTTTAAAGACAGGGTTTCTGGAGCTTAGGACTTGATATGACTTGACTGGGTGGTGGGACTTGAACTCAGGCTCCTATTCTTGCCTGGTAAACACTTTACCAGCTCCGTAAGTAGTCTTTCTGAGGCTGTGTAAATTTGTAGTAATGATAAATCTCAGAATTAAATGAGATGTTTAGATTATGATAAGTCTTGAATATTAGTTGGTGGCTGTTCATGTTACTTTATGTCATTAGTAAGCACTAAAGTGATACTACAACAAAACCAAAGTTCTTCACCCTGTGAGACTGAGTGAACACTCTGTGTTGCAGATGCTTCCTATGCATTGTGGACATGCCCAGCCTCCTTTCACTAGATACTTGTTGACCCCAACCTCCTAACTCACCCAGTTGTGACAGTCAAAGTGTTCTAGTCATTGCTAAGTGGCTCTAGCAGGAAAATTGTCCCTGATTGAGACTACTTAGAAGTATAATGAGTTTTCTGAGATGAAATAGTTATGAAATTGGAATACTTAGGAATTTCTTGGAACATTCTGCCTAGGTATGATATGAAATTTGGATTTATGTTTTTGTTAATCTCTTTCTGTCACTTTGGGCAGTTTAAAATGCTATTGAATTAATTATGTAAGTGAAATATAAAGGACATATGTAAATGTAAAGTATGTGGGTAGAGTGTGTAGTGTGTGGCCTTGCTGGTGCTGACGGTGGGCTCTCTTTGGCAGCGTACTGTAAGAACTCCGTGGACGGTCTATGGTATTGCTTCGATGACAGCGATGTGCAGCAGCTGTCAGAAGATGAGGTGTGCACACAGACAGCTTACATACTTTTCTACCAGAGGCGGACAGCCATCCCATCATGGTCAGCTAATAGCTCGGTGGCAGGTAACCTGGTTTTTCGTTGTTGTTGCGTTTTTTTTCCCCCAGAGCAGGAATTTGTAATTCTTGGGCCAAAGGATGTCTCAGAAGGCTTCATTATTGAAAGCTTGATGAGATTAATTTTCACATTTCCACTTAATCTGGGAACTAATATGATTTCAACCAAAGAAGTTGGGGTGGATGCTGATGGACCAGCAGAGTTCACGTAGAGGTGGGACAGAGCCTAGACAAACTACTTATAATTTAATTGTTTGGTTAAGTGCCTGGAGGTTTAGGTTATCTTGGAACACGTCCCATCTGCTGACATCTGCCCAGTGGGGTTACTGGTTGCTTACTATTGGTTAAGGTATGTGAAAGTATTCTATAAACTGTAAAGACCATTAGAAAGAAAGAATTCTTTTTCTTCCATAAAATTAATCTGTTATGTTAGGGGGAAAGATTGACTGTTGTTAACTGATTGAGGGCTTGGTTTTGCTGATGAGATGCAGCCTATTATGTTAATAAATGTTGAAATGAGTCCCACACACAATATGAATGCAGCCATAGATAATCAGATGAGAGGAAGATGCATGCTTCTTGCTGCAGGCTGTGGCTTTAAGAAAATAGCTTGAAATGTGGTACTACATCAAAGGAGAAGAGGCAGGGAATGGTGATCAGTGTCCCTTTACGCTCAAAGCAAGGAGGCGAGGCCTTCTCACTGGGTAGGCTGCTCACTTGACTCTTGGGCCATTCCAGAATCTGAGATGTGCTAAGAAACGACAGTCACTTTAGGTCTGTTTAAGACAGTACTGCTTCATGTAGTCAGTAAGCACACTATTACCCTAACATCTATTTAAAGGTAATCCCTGGAATTGATGGTACTGATGAACATACAGCAGATTCATACCCCCTACTGTGTGGGTGCATGCTGGTGCACGCATGTGCATGTATCATTAGTATTATAAAATGGCTTTAAAATGTCCAAAAGACATTGAAGCTAAGAAAATCAGTGTCTGTATTACTGCTCTTCCTCTGGGTGGTTCAGTAGCACTGCCAGTGCTCAGAGCTTGTGCTGTCTCTGTTTCTCTATTCCCTAGCCAGGATTAGGTGTTGCTTTTGAAAACATTTATTCTATATTTGCAGTTTGTTTCTGCAACCCTCCTATGTAGGAATTGCCTGGAGTTTCTTCATTTTTGCTAGGGATGTTTAGTTCTGGGAGTTTTTCTTAACTTTGGAACGAGGACACAAATCTCTGGCTTGACTGGCAGCAGCTTGACAGGATGTGTGCAGTGCAGAACTCTGGCTGACCTTAGAACCCATCTCCTTTTCTACAGGTTCTACAAGTTCTTCTCTGTGTGAGCACTGGGTGAGCCGGCTCCCAGGGAGCAAGCAAGCCAGCGTGACCTCTGCAGCCTCCTCCAGACGCACCTCCTTGGCTTCCCTCTCTGAGTCTGTGGAGATGACTGGGGAAAGGAGTGAAGACGATGGTGGGTGTGGATCGTGGTGGCAGATTTCCAAAATGGCAACTCATAAACAAAGCACAGTTTCTGCAGGCTTAGGAACAGTCTTTTTATATAAGCAGACTGTAGAACTCAAAAGAGTAGGGGTACATAACTGAGTTGTGGCTTTTCTATGATTCAGGGATTTCTCCTTCATTGGTTTCCACTTCTGTATTCCAGTGTACAGATAAACACTTTTTGTTAAAATTTGCAGGATGGCTATTAGGTCTCAGAGATGTTCTACCTTGCCTGGGACTGCCTCATGTAGAGCGGTGTTCTTAGTTAGTGAGGACACCATTGGGTCAGCTTGACCTCTACTCTAAACATAGTCACAATATCAATACTGGAGGAAATCTGATTAAATATTGAAATGCATTTTGTGTATTTGGTTTTTTTTTTCTTGGTACTTTTCACTTATGCTTGAGTATTGACAGGATAGCCCTTAGTACTATCAGCAACCCCAGGTGGTATGGGATGGACTGGGCAGCCAAAGTACTAAGAGCTGGAAGTGGGAGAGAGTGAGCTCAGCATCCATAATGAAGACAGTGACTCATCTTCCAAAGAGACTCGCTTGCTGCCAGTATTTCAGTTGCTTTAATCTGCTTCTAGGGGCGATGGGTAATTCTGAGAAAATGAAATGAAGCCAAAATGGGAGGTAGTTGGAAAGAAATCAAACTAGGAGAGCCGCCTGGCTCTGGCTCTACCCGCTTTGGCATTTTACTTCTTTTCCGTGTGAGCTGGAATATATTGGACTATTGTTGCCAAGCCCTTTCTCTTTCCTAGTCTTTTAGGAAAAGCTGACTAGTGAACCTATACCTATTTAGGTGGACATTATTTTTCACCACAGTCCTTTAAATTTGGAATTTGCTGTTGTTTTAACAATAAACCCAGAAGTAGCTTACCTCCATCTATTTTTAAGCAGTTTGGTTGGTGAAATCAATGTCTTCTTAAGCATCATCATCATTTAGTCATGCTCAGGGGTCACATAGAACAGAACCTGACTCTTAGTAGTCACAAAGACCATAGCTGCAGTAACAGAGGCATGCAGAATTCAGCTTCATCTTGGAAAGGTTTAAGCTGTTGGGAATATTAGTCTACCAGCCATCGAAGGTAGTATGTAACATGTCCAAGGCTCTAGTTCTTCCCACTGGTGCCCTTTTGTTGTTACCTGTTACAGACTTACTTCCACAGGGCATGCAATGGGGTTATGGGTTCGTGTATCATTTTGGTCAAGGAATTCATTCTGTGATTTCCAGGCGTCCTTCAGGAAAATGAAGGCGCTGGGTTAGAAGCTCATGTTTAGTGAAGATCTGGGAGTGTCCGGATCCTTGCTGGACACAGACTTCTTAGATTTTATTTAATTCTTTAATTAGACCAACAGTCATCAAATTATACCCAGAGGCCTCGTGTGGATGGCTGTGGCTGGTTTTATGGTAAGGTCACAGAACTGAGCAGTCGCCTGAACAGCCTAATAGACTGACGGGGTCTTTCCAGAAAGCGTACTGACCCTGATGTAGGATGAAGTAGATGGAGAGCATTTACTGACTTGAGAGTTAGCATGACCCTATTTTGCGGATAAGGAAACTGGTCTTTGAAGGGTTGAAAGCACACGGTTATCCTTGACTCTAGCAGACAGGCCAGCATTGAAGGTCATGGTCCTGTCATTCCCCCGGGTTTGCCCTTGCTCTGTCTTCAGTGTCTTAAGGTGTTACCAAGAATTTTTGATGATTTAGTCTGACAGAATTTTCTCTGCTATGCAGGAGGCTTCTCTACTCGACCATTTGTGAGAAGTGTGCAGCGTCAAAGCCTGTCATCCAGATCTTCTGTCACCAGCCCCTTGGCCGTCAATGAAAATTGCATGCGGCCTTCTTGGTCCCTGTCTGCCAAGCTACAGATGCGCTCCAGTTCTCCTTCCCGCTTCTCAGGGGACTCCCCGATCCATGGGTCTGCCTCCACCCTTGAAAGGATTGGGGAGGCAGGTGATGACAAAGTGTCCATATCTTGCTTCGGTAGTCTACGGAACCTTTCTGGTAGTCACCAGGAACCAAGTGACAGTCACAATAGACGAGAGCACAAGGCTGTGGGCCGGGCCCCATTGGCTGTCATGGAAGGTGTGTTCAAAGATGAGTCAGACTCTCGAAAATTGAACTCCAATGTTGTAGACATACCAAACAAAAATCTAGCACAAGGGGATTGCTTGCCCCCCATTTCTGATCCTTTTGATAATAATAACCAGATTGCGTATGTGGATCAGAGTGATTCTGTTGACAGCTCTCCAGTCAAAGAGGTGAAACCTCCAAGCCACCCAGACTCCCTCACAAAGAAGCCAGAGAGCACAACCAAGAGATCCCCTAGTTCCAAAGGCACTTCTGAGCCAGAGAAGAGCATGCGGAAGGGGAGGCCAGCCTTGGCCAGCCAGGAATCTTCTCTTTCAAGTCCATCCCCTTCTTCACCTGTTCCTGTGAAGGTTTCCTTGAAACCTGCCCGCTGTCGGAGCAAAGCAGATTCTTCCAGGGCCAGTGGAAGGCATTCATCCCCTGCCTCTACCCAACCCAAAAAAGAATCGTCCCCCAGGTCCCAGGAATCCATGTCATCTCCTTCACCACAGAAGCAAAAGTCTGCTTCTGCCTTCACTTACTCTTCTTCCTCCATATCTGCCAAAAAAGCCCCAGGCCCTGCCACCAGGGGCTCCTTACCTTCTGGGAAGAGTAGGACTTCTGACCGGAGCTTGAGTAGAGAGGGTTCCAGACAAAGTTTAGGTTCTGACAGAGCCAGTGTCACCTCCACCTCCACCTCCAAACCTAGCTCCCCTCGGGTGAATCAGGCCAGATCAGGAGACAACAGAGTTGACGGCAAACACGTTCGGAGCTCTTCCATGGCCAGCCTGCGCTCACCTAGCACAAGTGTGCGCTCTGGGTTGAAGAGGGACAGCAAGTCTGAGGACAAAGGACTGTCCTTCTTTAAGTCAGCCTTGAGACAGAAAGAAACCCGGCGGTCTACTGATCTTGGCAAGACAACCTTGCTGTCCAAAAAGGCTGGTGGGAGTTCTGTCAAGTCCGTCAGTAAGAACACCACAGATGACAAGGCAGAGAAAGGCCATCAGTCCCCAGGCTCACAGCAGCCAAACACAAATGCAGTTGGAAAAGAACAGCTTGTCTCAAAGGACCCTGCTTCTGCTAAACATTCCTTGCTATCTGCTCGAAGATCCAAGTCTTCCCAGCTAGATTCCGGAGTTCCTTTGTCTCCCAGTAGCAGGCTGGCCACCGAGAAAGGCTCCAAAAAGCTGTCTTCTAGCATGCAAACCTCTGCACGGCCTTCTCAAAAACCCCAGTGATCTTCTGCAATCCGGGTGTTTTATCTGTACAGATGTTTATTTATTTAGAACTCCCTTCCCACCAAAGCCCTCTATGCTTTTATTTTGTATTTTTTTGGGGGTTATGTGCCTGACTGTGTGAGAGAATATGAGTGTGTGTCTGGAATTCAAATTGTTAAAAGCGTCGCCTTATTCTGCCATTGAACCAAATAACAGCCATAGGCAAAGCATTGATACCAAGCTAACTGGAATAACTGTAGAAAATAATCTGGATAGTCCCTTTAGCAATTGTACCTGTTTCTTTCTAGAGAACTCTAATGACTTTGGTTGGACACTAGAGTTTGGAAACCTGTGAACCAATTAAGCTATCAGTCTGTAAACAGATGAATTGTTTGACTTGGGTTTTCATCTGAGCAGGATTTATCTTCATGTAGATTGTTGAGTGCCGTCAGGAGCTTAGAAAACAAACAAAACAAAAACTGTGACGCTAACAACATAAACTGAGGGAAAACTTGCTTTCTGCACTTTGGCCCCATCTACCAGTCTTTGTAAGGGCAATATCTTAACACTAATGTTTCTCAGGTATATATACTCAGCTAGTCTAGGATGGATGTACATTACTAATAAATGGGTTCAAGAGGAAGATGACATGGGGGGAGGGTGACTATCCTTTCTCCCACTGCCACGGGTAAAGGTTTCAGAGGTAGACAGAAAATCTATGCTACCTTCATATCTGCATTTATATGCATACCCTAGCCTGTCTTGACTCCTTGGATATGTTCTAAGATTTGGCAATTTTTGGATAGTCAGAAAGCTAGTCACTAATATATTTTTCATTCTAAATTTGCTGGCTAAAGCCATTGGAATTTTGAACTGTAGCTGAACAGTTAATGCTTTTGAAAGATTCCCAGAAAAAGTTTTATTCCAAGCTGGAAGCCTGAGTTTACCATTTTCCTCCCCTGATGTTGCTTTTTTCTGTTAGAAGTTTGAGGATCTCCTACTCCCCTTGTGTGCATGCTTACTGCCTTGTCTTGCTGCTTGGAAAAGAAAGAAGTTGCCTCCTACCAAGAGCCACTGGTGGTGTGGTGATGTGTTGTGAGACAAAGCATTGCACATGCACTTTGGATCGTACCTGTCAGTCTTCCTTGTGACTGCTTCTTTATAGCTCTTTTATGTCTGCTCTGTCCTGAAGAGTTAACCTCAGACCCAGAACTCAAGCAGAGTCTGGCATATGTTCCCTCTGACATGTAGTTGCCAATTGCGTTACTATAGATGAAAAGGGGGACCTCAAACCTCTCTGGATTCTCACAGGTAAAACATAGTTTTCCAAGCCTTGTGGAAATCACTTGGAAATACTTTCCAGTCCAGTTTTTTGGTGTCCTCTTTTTTTTTTTTCTTCTTCTTTTTTTTAATATCAAGAGAATTGAGGTCTTGATTCTCAGAGTAGCATTTGTCACTTTGTCATTAAATATAGCATGTTAAGTTTATGTGTTATTACATACTAAAGCTCATGGTTCCCAGGTCCACACGAATTCCCTCTTCAGTATTTCTGTGACGTGGCCGCGGTGCATATTGCATGCGGTGTGATTTCTGCACTGTCCTTTTGTTCTTTATGTTAAGAATACCTCCTGGGAAGTACTTTCCACTAGTTAACTTAAGTTTATTTTGCTGCTAATATGGACATTAGCTGGTAGCTTGCAGGTTCAAGGTGACTGGGTATTTGAGGCTTAGGTGTTCAGCTTTGTGCACGTTACCACAGTGCTCCACACAATCGTGTGTGTGTGTGTGTGTGTGTGTGTGTGTGTGTGCAGTGCCCACTGCACTCAATCCTGTACTGGCTGCTTCTGTCCCTCCTCCCCCGCCCCTTGTGGCTTCCCAAAGCCTCCAGGCTCTCTGCCCTTTGTGTGACTGAGGTGACAGCTGCCTTTTCATGTCGTCATTGTTCAGTGGCACACGGTCAGCCCCAGCAGTATTTGGCCACCTATCTTGTTTTATTTTCTAAAAAAGCATCAAATGTGAGGCCATCAGTATCAGGAATTGAGCATTTGTGTGATTTGAGCCTCTGAAATGGTCTTAGAATTAGAGTGTGATAAGACAAAGGATTTTAATAACAAGCTGTTTTGCCATAATTAAGATGACGAGAAGCTAGTTTAATTTTCACAGTACTACATAGTTTGTTCTTGAATGCAGTAGGAATGGATTCTCCCTCCCACATATATCATGCTTTCTTAAACAAAACAGAAAAATCTTCTTCAAGTCTCTACTTTTCCATGGGATCAAGAAAGACAGTTTCTATAATGTAATAAAATTGAAAAGATGTATGTATATGGAATTTAGTCCTTATTTCATATTTAATTTAATAGAAAAAAATCATCATTGTCTAGGCTATGAAGCTGCCATGCTTGTGAGGTTGGGAAACAATGCAATCTAATTCCTTACTGCTGGGGTGTGTTTAAGACCCAGAAAAGGCTGCTCTGACAGTGTTGTCATAAGAGCTTATGAGAACATTGCTGCTTGGTTCATTCAGTTCTCTGGCAGGGTTAAGTTACTGCAGTCTTTCCCCAGTGATTTGGATATAGTGAACATACTGAGCCTGGTTAGGGCAGTCATTCCCCGTAGGCACACAGCACCAACCAACAGAATGATGCATTGGTAATTTTTGGGGGGATGTTAAGTAAGCCCCCCTTTATCCTTGCTCTTTTCCTGTAGAACACCCTGTGCATGAGGCTACACCATCCCTTAAGCCAGCCTTCCTCCTTGCCTTCATGATGATGCTTACTCATGTCCCTTACAGCCCTCGCCAACCTCATTTATTTCTTCTTATGCCTGAGAGTGAGTGGTGCCATGTCTAATCAATAGAGCAATGTGGTATATCTGCTGTGCCACATTTAATTCATTTGGGCCTGCTTTGCAAAGTCAAACAGAAAGCTTCGGCAGTCTGCTGTAGTTGAGGAGTCCTGGGAGACACCAAAGCAAACAGGGCCTGCCATGAAGTGGTGGTCTTCATCAGAAACACCCAAACAGATTATGGTTGGGTAAGACATGAGGTTCCTTGAGTTTTTGTCTGGAAATCAAAAGTGTCCTTGTTTATCTCTGGAGACATTGTGGTCTTCTGGCCACTGGATCAGACTGAGCTGTCTGTACTGTATAGTGGTTAAAATCTAGTATCTGGTCACTTTACATTAGAATCAACCCTCTATGTTTCTATGAGATGGCTGTGGAGATTGCTGAGGGATGGGATGCACTGTCCCCGTCTAACTAATAAGTAGGAGTGGTATGTTAAGGGAGCAGTAGTAGCAGCTTAAGGGATATGGATGAAAGGGTTGTAAACAAAGCTCATTTCAGATAAACCCTCTTTAAGTTTTGATAGATTACTAATAGCTGAAGTTACAGTTTCCTGTGTACATTGTCATTGAATACAAAGGTAATTAGTGTCTGGTTTGGACTTTTGAGCTAGGATGAAAATCATAAGCACAGTTTCAATAAAACACGGTTTGGAGGTGCATTGATACTTAGATTTTGGAGTTGAGAAGGGAAAAATTTGCCGGCAAACCAGTGCCTACCATAAAGACAACTTAGCTGCTAGTATGCAGGCTGCTCTTGCTTGAGTTTTATAAAGAGCTCATTGCTATTCAGCTGACTGCACCTTCAGTTGGGACATCATGCTTTTGTTTCAGTCAGTGCTGCCTTGTGATCAGACCCCAGATTGTTCTTCCTGGCTGCCTTTTGAGCATGACCGATCATTTTTACCCTGAAGTAGAGACAGCAGTTTTGCATGCCCTCCTTCTAACCCAGAAAGCATGCTCATACTACCTATGCAAGCAACCGGTTGAAAAGCATACGGAGAAACTACACTAAACATTGAGTTTTAAATAAGAAAAAAGACAACTCAGATCCTGGAGCTCTATTTTTGAATTTGTGATTTTTAAAGCGTGGCTTCATCATCAGTGTAGGGGAGCCTGAGTGTGAATTTTAGGTTGCTTGGCATCTCTTTCTCTGCCAGTCTTTTTTTTTTTTTTTTAATTATCATTGGTGAGATTGTGTGTAAAATAGGATTTTGCAAGCAGGAGTGGATTGGATATGTTGAATATACACTGGTGTATATATTGTATTTAGCCTGAAGACTTTCCTAAAGTATTTTGTTCTAAGAAATAACCTGCCATTTTCTATAGATTTTAATTTTTTATATCTTCTGGTGTCGTTCATCACAAGGAGAGATGTGGCTTCATATAGTGCTAACAATTTTTAAATGCTTTTGTAGAGACTTGGAGGTGTTTAGGAAGACTCTGGGACTTCCCACTCACTGGTCTCAGTAAGATTAAGGATGCGGAATATATGGTAGTGTTAAACAATGGATTCAGGTCTAGATTGTTTTCCATGGGGCAGGGGTGGGGCAGAGGCTCATAGCATAGGTGAACGATGTCTTTGAATCCCATACATACACTGTCCCGAGGCCTCTTCTGGATGATTCACCCTAGGTCACTGGGATCATCAAGGGACTTGGAAGGCCTGGGCCTCTCCCAGGCTTTTGATGCTGGGTGACTTTCTCTCCTTATTCCAGTCAGAATCGAGAAGGATGTGGTACACCATCTCTCTGCCAACAGTTTATGGCGAGAATCATCACTGCCATACAAAGTACTCAGGAGGAATTCCAGTTGCGTTGGACAAGAAAATTAAAAGAAGCTGTCAATCCCCTGCTCGAATTCAGGGGACAAGAGCTTTCTGACTTCAAGGTCTGATTTGGACCTGTGAAGCATTTTATGGGTGGTATGTTACTTGCCAGTCTGGGGATTGTTCTTACTTCCTGGTGGCAAGCAGAGTGCCCCAAGGGGTCCAGATTCATTCCCAGAGCCTCTGTTCAGATTCTGCTGTCGGACTGAGACCCATGCAGGAAGGGAAGTCACTCCATGTTAGACAATGTGGCAGAAGACGGTGGAGAGCTAGCTGTCCGGCCATGCAGACCCTGCTCTGCTTTTGACAGCACAGTTGCAAAGCACAGGTTGCACGGGCCCCCTGCTCTGATTGCACTCCACTCTAGGTCTTTCCTACTCAGAATGTTGCTCTAGGAGTCCTTTTAAATTTAAAAACAAATGTGAAACATTCTATTGAAATTATTTTGATGCTCTCATTCCTATTTTTTCATGTAATTAAATCAATACCTATCCAGGAATTTGGCAGTATATGTTACCTTCAGAGGCACAAGAAGTTTGGTTTTAATCTGTGGTGAGCCAGGTGCACTATACCATCTTCAAAATAATCTACTGTGCTGTGTGGCCTCATCTTATTGAACATCAGGCTGCCTACAAAAAGGAGAAAAACAGTTTATCTGACGTGGCTCATATTTTAAGGAGTAAGGGTATCAGGGAAAATCAGAGCTGGAACAGCTTTGGCACACGGCCTCCCAGAGTCGAGCTCTCTGCTGCTGTGAACACGCAGCATGAACTTTCCTAGGTGCTATTCCAGACTGGGGGGCTGTGTTTCTGCACTTGCGGTTCTGTCGGTCTTTCCTGTAGGCATATATGTTCTGTGTAGGTCTGCTCACCGACTGTGCCTCTCACCACTGGTTAAAATTGAATTTGGGCCTCATTACCAAAATGGTTTCTTGATTCTCTTGTGTATTCACAGCGGCGTTTATTTCTCTAGTTGTCTTCACAGCTGCATGTCATATCACTGTACACAAAACGCTTTGGTGTCATTCATGAGCCATAGTGAGCGCTGTATAAATTCTTCAGTAAAAGGATGGCAGAGTGTCTTTCCTGCAGGCTGGAAGAAAGTGTATCCTACATTTTAAATTATTTTAGGCCGAGTGCATGAGGTATGTCACTGCCTTCTGTTATTTATTTGTATATTTTATTATTCAAGGTGTATGCACTTTTAAGAAGCAGAATTTATATTTTTATGTTTAAAACATTTTATTTCCGAGACAGCAGTTGGTTATATAGTATACAATTGGAATTAAGAGAAAACTGGAAATGTAACAAAACATAATAAATTTACTACATGCCTTCTTCAAGACATACTCCTTTCTTCTCCCCCTTGCCGAACCAGTTTTTTTTTTTTAAATGTTGACTAGTATTTGTACTGCATTGATTTTTTTTTTATAACAAAATGCTTTAAAGTTGCAGCATTTCAGGTAAAAACACCAAGTTACAGGACACTACCACACAGACTGGCCGACTCCCCATGCAATTGCTGTGTAAAAAGATCCCACCCATACTTGTTCCCAGTCAACAACTATATGAGTGATATAATGAGAGACATGAGAGACTAGGTGTCCTGAGCTACATAGACAGAGCTCACATGCTGCCTCACTTCCAACAGATTTTCTTCATTGCTCCTCTTTGGTGATAAGAGGAAATTGTAACATTAAAAAGTACTCTTTCCTTAGCCTTTTCTCACCTCTTATACACATGGTATCTGCTTTATTTTTTATTTTATGCCTATGAGTGCTTTGCTTGTATTTGTCTAAGTGCACCATTTGTGCCTGAGCCTAGTGCCCAGGGGGAGGCTAGAAATGACTCTTGGATCCCCAGGAGTTTAGAGTTTCTAATGACTTGATCTGTTGTCTGGCAGCTGGGAACTGAACCCACGTCCTCTGGAAGAGTAGCCAATGCTCTTAATCACTGAGCCATCTCTCCAGCCTCCCAGAACCTGGCTTTTAACCATCTTCTGAGGTTTTTGTTTTGTTTATTTTCTAGCTATCTTGCCTACAAAGACAATTCTCTAGTGTGGTGTTGTATCACTTATGACCACTTGGGGGCAACAGAGCTCAGTATTCTCCAGTGTATTTTAAAAGTCCAGCTTACCAGTTTTTAATGTCTTATCTGAGGGTGGAAATGCCTGAGCTAAGCTGAGAATAGCATCTCTGAGCTGGCCTTGCTCATTGTGTAATATTCCAGCCAGCCATTTCTCCCAGAGAAGTGAGCACCATGGGAGCACAGCATCATCGTGGCAGAGTTGGGTAGACCACTCTGGATCATCCAAAACAGCACTTCCTCCTCTAAGTTGGAGTGGTAAGGTTTTCCTTTAGCTTAGCACAGCACACCGTTTACTAAAGAGGTTTGATTATGCATGCACTTGTTCACGTACCATAAAATATATAAATTCAATATTTATGGAAATATCTAAAGGCCACTTTGTTGCCATTGAATTTGGAGGGTTATTTTTCAAATACTTGAATGCTCAGTGTCTGCAAACACATTTTAGATCTGAAATCTTCATGAAGAAAGCAAAAGTGTGGCAAAGCCCCTTGACCTGTTCCATGTCTCCTTTGTATTAAAGCCCCCATGAGAGACTTGAGGCCTAAGCCAGCAGAAAGCGGTTGAAAACGTCACCCCAAGCCAGTGCCCCTTCCCCAGGTGGGCTCCAGACTGCAGCAGATGTTAGGTTTGGCTCTTCCTCCTTTTTAGGCATCTCCATGTGGGTTGTCCAGGACTTGATCTGGTGGATAGGGTCTACCTTATGCAAAGCCTTTGGGAGTCTCTCGAGATCTTGGCTCACCATCACAGTTTTCCTCTCCTTGTCAACATTCACTACACAGGGAGGACAGGGACCTCCTCCCTGACAGATTCTGCATGTGTAGTCCAGTGGATATCACCCTGTATGGTTATCAGGGCTATATCATTTGGCTTGCTCTTCTGGTTTAAACAGCTCCACTTTCCTTTTTTTAATTTGAATTTACTGTTTTGTGTGTATGAATGTTTTCCTACACGTATGTTTGTGCATGCCTGGTGCCCACCCAGATAGGAAGATTCCTCCTGGAACTGGAGAGTGACAGATGGTTGTGAGTCACCATGTGGGTGCTGGAAATTGAACTCGCCCTCTGTAAGAGCAACTGAGTCGCTGGAAATACAAGACTTCAATATGTAATTAAGACCATGTAGCAGCAGGCTGCTTGGCCGCTTGTTCATCTCCCTGTCACCCAATCCCCCAAAATAATCACACAGAAACTGTATGATTAAATCACTGCTTGGCCCATTGGCTCTAGCTTCTTATTGGCCAACTCTTACATACTAATTTAACCCATTTCTATTCATCTGTGTATTGCCACATGGCTGTGGCTTACCGGCTAAAGTTCTGTCTGGCTCCAGCAGGGCTACATGGCTTCTAACTCATCCTTCCTTCTCCCAACATTCAGTTTAGTTTTCCCTGCCTACCTCTGTTCCCTGCGCAGGCCCAAGACAGTTTCTTTATTAACCAATGGTATTCACAGCATACAGAGGGGAATCCCACATCAAGACCAGGCAGGTGGTCTCCCCTTTGTTTATGAAAAACCCATGGAGACTCAGATCCAGTTTCCAGTTCCAAGGACTTGGTCTGTCTCCTAGAGTAGACCTCAAGACATTATACCAAATAAAGATGGGCTTTGCCAGCTTCTGATTCATACAAGGTCCCATGAAGAAGAATGACACATATCATTCCAAGACAGAGACCAAGCCCCTTCTTATTTATTTATTTATTTATTTATTTATTTATTTAGTTTTTCGAGACAGGGTTTCTCTGTGGCTTTGGAGGCTGTCCTGTAACTAGCTCTTGTAGACCAGGCTGGCCTCGAACTCACAGAGATCCACCTGTCTCTGCCTCCCGAGTGCTGGGATTAAAGGCGTGCACCACCACCGCCCGGCCCCTTCTTGTAGCACTGTTTCTGTAGTCCGACACTGGGATATAGTCACAGGATCAAAGTAGTGAATGTGACATTTCAGCACTCCCTCCTTGCTCTTCCTCTAGGCATTCTGCCTACTAGCTTTGAGGCATGCAGAAGGTCCATTTCCTTACCCTTACACCATCTCTCTAATATGAGCTTGCTTCAGAGCTCTCCTGGACCACCCTCTCCAAGCTTGCAGTCTGTGCTACAGTCTACCTCCTCCCTACCTTATGTTCTGCATGCATCCAATCAGCTAGTGCTATGCTTGTTTGAAGGAGATGCAGAGAGGTAGCCTTTTCCATTTGCTCTCTCTTTTTCCTCTTAAAGGAGGGCACATGGTGGTGTTTCCCTGAACTACTGGGCTAGCTGATTTGTCTGAGTCAACTTTCTTGTCTAGGGGTGGAGTTAAAGGGGAATGGTGCTTTTTAAGCCTGCCCCACTGTATTGGACACTGAATCTTTAGAGAAAAGATTCAGTGAGTGGTTGCCATCGTGACCATAGTGACAGAGGAGGGGCTAACCCTGGAGGCCTTGCAGGATAGCTCCCATTCCACCTAATGGAAACCACTTTCTTGAAGCCCCAGGAGGCCCTTCCTGGCATGTAGGACAAGAAGCGGTGGAAGAAGGGAGGAGTGACCATCTAAAGGAACCTCATATGACTTATATTTGTACTAAAGTAAATAACAATCAGGAACAGTTTAATTTGGGGGAAGAGATGAGACCCAGTTTGTGCCTTTGCACAATCACCATGACAACAATGTGGTACCTGAGAAGTAAGTTAGGAGCTTGCTGCAGGAATCTGGGTGACCTAGAGTGGTGGAGGTGCAGGAGAGTAGGGAGGTTCTGTACAGGGAAGGCTGACTGCTGGGCTTAGTCCCTGTGACTGTGACTTAAAGGTTGGACAGTCAGGACAAGTTACTCAACTTCTCTGTGCCTGGGAGTCTTCCCCTGTGGAATGTAGATTGTGGTGTCTACATGAGGAGTTATTTAGTTGATGGGGTGTTATATAAGTATTTGGTTTTATCTATTATCTTTCTGTTTCTTTGATATTTGTATCACCCACTTTTTTAACTGTTTAGTTTTTATGTGACTTGATTGCCTTCTACCTTCCTTCTATACCACCTTCTTTCTGTCTCTCCTTCTTTACTCTTTTCAAACACCAAGCCTTTGTGCATGTATAAGGTGTGTGTGTGTGTGTGTGTGTGTGTGTGTGTGTGTGTGTGTCAGTGTACATGTGCATGTGGATGGATGTGTGTCCTGTATGAGGGGGACCAGAGGTTGATTGACATCGGGTTTCCTTCTCAGTTACTCTCCACTTTGATTTTTTGAAACTGTCTCACTGGTTTGGCTAGGTTAGCTGGCACCAAGCTCTAGGGATCTTTCTGTCTCTGACTTTTCAATGCCAGAGGTTCCAGATATGCCCCACCCCGCATGGGTTTTCACTTGAATATTATGGATACGAGTTCATGTCCTCTGGTTTGTGCTGCAGATGGTTCACTTGACCTTGTTCTTACTCTGCCCCAAACTGGCCTCATACTCAAAACCTGTCTCCTCATTTGACTTCAGCTGCCATTTCCTTCTTAAACGTAGGCTCTCACCATGTACTTCATGCTGACTTCCTGCTCACCACTGCAACCCCGAGTGCTGAGATGACTGGAGCACGATTAATAAAAACCCAGAGACAGAAATTGGGGTTCAACCTGAAGGTCAGAAAAGTAAAACAGCCAGCCACTGGCTCTTATCTCTACCTCAGTCGGAAATGGTGATCCTGCCTCCAGGAATCCTCAGGATGAGACTGTGTGAGAGCTGTCTCTTCCTGTCTTATATTCCTCTCTAGTGCTGGGATTAAAGGCGTTGCACCACTACTGCCTGGTTTCTATAGCAAACAGGTGTGGCTACTGGGATTAAAGGAGTGTGTCACCACTGCCTGGTTTGTAAGGCTGATCAGTGTGGTTGTTTTACTCTCTGATCTTCAGACAAGCTATATTTATTAAAATACAAATGAAATATCACCGCAGGTGACAGGTGTGTGCTGGCCTTCAGCATTGCCATCTGGATTTATGAGAGCCTGAGAAATGTCACCTTAGTGCTCAGGGCTTCAGAGCACTTTCATCCTCTTGCCCTTCCTGACCCTTTGCTATTCTCATGCATTTTAATTCCATGTGCATCTAACAATGTTAACGTTACACAGTCACTGTTCACTTAGATTCACCAGGATACTTACTTTCATTGCTCTTCCAACCTTTCTATAGTTCACGCTGTGATTGGTTTCCCTTTGCCTGAGGAATTCCTGCTAGTGTTTTAAGTTTGTGTTAATGGTGCATTCTCTCAGTTCTTATTTGATTAGGAATGTCTTTATATTTTTATGGAAGAAATCATTTGTGTTTATTGATCCATGTATGTTTTTTCATTAAAAGACTGTTAACCTTTTGGCTGAGGGGTATCTGCATTAGGCATGACGAAGGATCAAACAGCAGCAATAGTCTTCTGTTTTCTAATTGTAAACATTTCTCTATAGTTAAAAAAAAAAGAAGAAAGAAAGAGAAACAAACTAGAGATAAAATTGTTATTTTGGGAAGTAAATACTTCAGTCTGGAGATTAGAGATGTAGCTCAATGGAAGAGTGTGTGACTAGCATGCTCAAGGCCCTAGGTTCTACCCCCAGCACCAATAAAATAAAATCAAAAGAAGGAAAAAGTTTAGTTGGTACTTCTCCTGATTACTGACATGTTCTGGCTAAATTTTATGTCAACTTAACACAGTTTTCATTTTGGAAGAGAAAAATCTTGATTGAGAAAATACTTCTGAGGCTGGAGAGATGGCTCAGTGGTTAAGAGCACTGGTTACTCTTCCAGAGGTCCTGAGTTCAATTCCCAGCAACCATATGGTGGCTCACAACCATCTGTAATGAGATCTGGTGCCCTCTTCTGACCTGCAGGTAGACACATGGGCAGAACACTGTATACATAATAAATTAATCTTTTAAAAAAGAAAGAAAATACTTCTACCATATTGACCTCTAGGTATAAGTCTGCAGAGCATTTTCTTAATAATTGATTCCCTAGGGTCAAGCCCATTGTGGGTGGTGCCATCCCTGGGCTGATGATGGTCCTGGGTTCTATAAGAAAGCAGGATGAGCAAGCCAGTAAGCAACACCCCTACATGGTCTCTACATCAGCTTTTGCCTCCAGGTTCTTGCTTTGAGTTTCTACAATGATTTCCCTAGACTGTAAAATGAAATAAACTCTTAACTCCCCAAGTTGCTTTGGGGATGTTTTATCACAGCAATAGGCACACTAATAGACAACATATGAACCAATTCTGCTTCAGCCCTGTTTGTCCTCACAGAACCATCTCTGCTTACCCCAGCCCTCTCCTTATTGTCCCACAGGGCATTGTCTGAGCTGGGCCTCACCTCTCCTCTCCCATCCTGGCCATCCTCTCCAGAGTATGACTTACCTTCCTGTCTTTCCAGCATACCAGACATGGCCACTTTTCTGCATGCTATCTACTCTCCTCTTTTCTCCCTCTGCCTGGTTTATCAGCAATTTGGACTGTGTATTGTTTGGGTTCCAGTCCCCTCCCCATGTGTAGGGGGTGGGACTTCCAACTTTTCAGGTGTGAGACAAACACTCTACAGATAAGTTACATCCACACCCAGCCTTCAGTTTTGAAGAGGATTGTCATTGAGAATAGAACTCTGGGTTGGAGATTAAGTTCTTTGATAGCCATTCCATGGACTTCTTTCACTGGTGAGTCTGTGGGCAGTCTTACTGCTTGGACAATATGGGGCAGGGTGTTTCTTCCTGGATTCTTTGAAAGGGTTCCTTTTCCACCAGCTTCCTTCTGATGGACAAAGGTTTGGGTTCCTTGTCTTTTATTCCCCATAACAAGAATCTGATGTGTTTTCTTCTTGGGAATTTTTTTCATTTTTTTTAAATCTTCATTTTTTTTTTTTATTCTGGACATTTCCAGCAAAATGAGTCTTCTTCAGCTGGGTTTTTCTTTCTTTCTTTCTTTCTTTTTTTTTTTTTGGTTTTTCGAGACAGGGTTTCTCTGTGGCTTTGGAGCCTGTCCTGGAACTAGCTCTGTAGACCAGGCTGGTCTCGAACTCACAGAGATTCGCCTGCCTCTGCCTCCCGAGTGCTGGGATTAAAGGCGTGCGCCACCATCGCCCGGCTTCTTCTTCAGCTGGGTTTGATTTTTTTTTCAGGTAAAAAAAAGGAACATCCTATTAAATAGGAGTTTCACATACACACTGGATACATCTTAGGATGTTTCAAGTTTTGAATGGGGCATATTTATACCCAGCTTCTCTTGTTTTTCTGAAACTAAAGTTAAACCGAGCATCCTCTATTTCATTTGCAAAACGTGTCAACTTCTAGCTATGTCCGATTTGCTGTTAAACATATCTCATTATGTTTTCAATTTAATTTAGGTGATTGCTTTTTTTTTTCACTTCTAGAATTTCCCTGGGTTATTTATGGAGGCTAGGTGTCTGGTGCTGTTGCCCACTTGGCTGTCAGTTTTCATAGGCGACATAGTTATGAAAGCCTAACTAGTATCCAGTCACATGTGCATTTCCTTCTGTTATAACCTTTGTTCCACTTCTCGGCATCCTTTAATGTTTTTCTTATGTTACATCATATTTATTTTGTGGCGGCAGGGACATGATCCTACGTGTTTGAGGTCAGGACAGGTTTCAACTGTGTGTTCTTGCAGGTCCTCAGGTTTGGTGGCCAGAACTTTACTCACTGAGACATTTTTTAATTTGATGCTAAGCAGTGTGTAAGAGAATACCACAGAGGCTCTGGCCAGTGTTGATGTTTCCCTCCAGGGAAAACTTACGCCGTTCCTGGGCTGGAAAACGGGAGCTAAACTGACTTTTAAAAGACTCCATTTACTTCTGGGCTGTTGACCATAGACGAAATTTTCATTCCACTGCTTGTTCAGCAAGAACACATCGAGTACTGCCAAGTGGACCCGTGAGCAAGCCAGAAACCTCACCACAAAGTAAACCTTTCCTTAGTGGAGTTTAACTTCTAGTCACCTCTCTAGGAGACCTAGAAAATGCTAATAGTTGATTTTACTTGGGACCAGCTTCCTGAAGAAATGAGAGTCCAGGTAAGTTATTTTAAAAGTGTGGCTGTCGGGGCTAGAGAGATGGCTCAGTGGTTAAGAGCATTGCCTGCTCTTCCAAAGGTCCTGAGTTCAATTCCCAGCAACCACATGGTGGCTCACAACCATCTGTACTGAGGCCTGGTGCCCTCTTCTGGCCTGCAGAAAGAATATTGTATACATAATAAACAAATAAAAAAAAAAACTATGATCATAGCCTGAAAACACATTTAAAAGTGTGGCTGTCTATACCAAAATGCCATACACACTACTAGACCCCAACCTTTCTGCCTCCATAAACAATGTTCCCCATCCTGACAATCCTTGATGCTGCCCTTCCTCGAAATCTATTCCTTACAGCTAAGCTGTGTGTGGGCTCCATCCAGCTCCTCTTTCCTAGGTGTGTGCTAAGCCTATCCTCTGTCTCCACCGATGAACCTGTATTCCAGTTGCCATGGTCTCTAGCCCACATTCTTGTGCCTCCATCTCCATCCACTCACTCAGCCCCATCTGGCTCAGTCCATCCCTGATGCTATAACAAACTGCTTTAAGCTGAGTAATTTATAAACACTGGAAATGTTTCACTTCTAGCTCTGGATGTTGGGAAGACCTAGACATCAGCAGATGCAGTGGTAGGAACCTGTTTGTAGGTTGTTGTGTGAGGCCGCTTTTTCATTTCCCAGCTGCTCAGGGTCAGGAAATAATCCCACAGAAATTATATTATTTAAATCACTGCTTGGCCAATCACTTAAGCATATTGCTAACTAGCTCTTTTATCTTTGGTTAACCCATTTCTATTTTTTTATATTTTACCATGAGGTTCGTGGCCTACCAGCAAGGTTCCAACTGGAGGCTTGCATCTTTCTCCTCTGGCAGCTCCATGGAGTCTCCCTGACTCCGCCTTCTTTTTGCCAGCATTCAGTTTAGTTTTCCCACCAAATTCTATTTCTGCTAGGCCACTAGCCCAAACAGATTTATCCATTGATTAATAAAAACAACACATAGAAGGACTTCCCACACCAGTAGGTAATACCTGTCACCTGTCCTCTTGTGGTGGAAAGGGCAAAGAAGCTATGTCACTTTTCCTTTTTCTCTTTTTTTGTTTTGATTTTTTTTTTTGAGACAGGCTTTCTCTGTGTAGCCCTCTGTTCTAAAACTTGCTTTGTAGACCAGGCTGTCCTCAGACCCAAAGAAATCCACCTGCCTCTGCCTCCTGAGTGCTGGGATTAAAGGCATGTGCCACCACTGGCCAGCTAAGCTAGTCACTTTTTATAAGGACAGTTTTCTTAAATACATTAATTACAAAATAATCTAACAACACTAGATCTCATTAATAAGGACCCTCCCTTCATGGGATGGTCGCCCCCGAAGGCCCCACCCCTTAATACCACTGCATGTAGAACTAGACTTTATTATGAGAGGGTGGGGCAGATAGGGGAGCACCAAGATTCAGATGCTAGAATCACCTTTTGTCAGTCCTGATAGAATTTGCTTTTTACTTCTGGGGCTCAGGTCTTGATGCTTTCTCTGCTAGGAAACTTCTCTCTGATGTTTACAGGGCAAGTTCTTCCTCATCTCAAAAGAAATCTCTAAGTCCTTGGGCTACCAAACCTCTAATCTGCAGGGTTTTTCAGCTCATCATTGCATTTTATTTTAGAAGACTTTGTGGGCTTGGAAGTTGTGGATTTGACCACTGACTTTAAGAGTGGGATGTAGTTACCACAGAAAATGGATCTTTTGTTTGTCTGTCCCCTGCTAAGGGCCATTGTAGAGGTTTTAAACAGCAGGTAACCAAAGTAGGTGCCACTATTTTAATTTTATGCAGAGGCCCAGAGAGAGTAAATCATGGTAACTCACAGGGACACGGTAGATCTTGGATAGGAACCAAATTTGAATTGTTTTATTTCAAAATTTGTGGTTTTACTCTTCTAACACACCAGCACATGACAAGTAAGATGTAGTAACATAGAAAAGTGTACGTGGTGTTATGAGAAGGGGATTCCTTCAAGACTCCAGACAGTCCTCTTCTGTGTAAGCCTTGAGGAATTTCTCCGACAGCAAGTCCAGAAGGTGATAAAATTTGTACAATTTGGTAGCAGAATTTAGAGGGTATTCTTGGATACTTTTTTTAAAAATGGTAAAGAAACATTCAGATTTACACAAAAGTTGTAAAAATTATTCCATGATTTCTTATATCCTTTGCTATGCTTCTCCTGGGGGCGGCCTACATAACCACAGTACAAAGGTCAAAGACAGACATTAACGTTGTCATAATACAGACTCCAGGTGGATTTCACCTGCCTACCAAGCCTTTTCTTTTGGGTCACCAACCAGCTCCCAAATCATGACATGGGTACTTTTTAGTTTTGAATGCTCAGCCTTAGCTTACACTTGTTTCTTGCTTGCTCTTATAACTTAATCTATTTACCCTCATCTACATTTTGCCTCAGGGCTTTTTAACCTGTGCTTCCTTCTGTATATCTTACTTTCACTGCTTCTCCATAGCTGACTGGTGACTGCCTGGCTTCTGACCCTGGTGTGTTCCTCTCTTTCTCCACGTCTTCTTGCTTAAGAGCCTAGATTTCAACTCCTGTTTATTGTCTCTGCCTGCTAGCTCCACTTATCCCTCTCCTGCCTAGCTATTGGCCATTTGGGCTTTTTATTAGACCAATCAGGTGCCTTAGGCAGGCAAAGTGCAACAGCAACACATCTTTACATAATTAAACACATACCCTTACATTGTCAAACAAATGTAACACATCTTTACACCATTAACAAAGTCAGCAGGAATAAATGTAACACATTTTTACACAGTTAAAGCAATATTCTGCAGCACAAACAAATGTAACACATCTTTGCCCAGCTACAGTAATATTCCACAACATATCTGCATGTTTGCTTCTTCTTCTTTTTTTTTTTTTTTTTTTGCTATCTAGGAACATATCTCTGATACCATGTCATAGCTAGTTTTCTTATGGTTCCTCAGCTTTTCATGACCTTGACATTTGAAGTGTTTGAGCCACTTGTACAGGATCTCCTTCAAACTAGGGTTTGTCTCCTATCATCTCCTGAGCTGATTAAGGTTCTGCATTTTGCGGGGAGAATCCCATTGAAACAGAGTGCTTTGCTTGGTGCTTCTGAAGTCATAACATGGCATTTATCATGACTATGACCACTTAGTAATGCTCACCATTATGAAATGGTCAGCCACTCTTTCATCAGCATGTTATATCTTGGCCATGCAAACATCCCATTTCTCCTCAGATCTTGGACCCACTATTCATCATGTGTGTCTTGCCTATGAAGCTTTTATATTACCATGGCATTCCAAAGGGTAAGGGCAGGCTTAAAAACCTCTCTTCAAACACTTAGCCCTAAAGGGACATCTTCATCAAATACCTTCCATCAGGGCTCAGGGAACTCCACAGAAGAGGTGGGAAGAGCCAGAGGGAATGGAGGATACCAAGGAATCAAGGCCCTCTAGACACAACGGGGTGGGTATACACACACACACACACACACACACACACACACACACACACGAACTCACAGACTGAGGCAGCATGCACGGGTTTGCACAGGTCTGTACCAGATGGGGTCCTAGAGATGAAGGAGAAGTGGACACACATCCTCACCTCTAACCAGGAAACTATCTCCAATTAATAACCACTCACAAATGAAAACTTAGGGTGTTTTTTCTTTTTCCAGCCAGGCAGTGGTGGCATGCACCTTTAATCCAGGCACTCAGGAGACAGAGTCAGGCTTATCTCTGAGTTCAAGGCCAGCCTACTCTACAGAGTGAATTCCAGGACAGCCAGAGCTACACAGAGAAACCTTGTCTTGAAAAAACAAAAATAAAATAATAATAAAGAAAAGAAAAAGAAAAATTAGTTTTCTCCAAAGGAGTCTGGTCTCACTGGAGAAACAAACCTCTCTCTTTTTTTTTTATTTTATTTTTTTTATTTTTTTTTAATTGAGAATAAGAAAAAAAAGTTTCCGCCTCCCCCCCGCCTCCCCTTTCCCCTCCCCCCCCCCC